TAGCTCTCTGTGTGGTGGTCTACAGCTGCAGCAAAGGCAGTAGTGATGGTGTTCCACAACTGGGTGATTTTTTGAGTTTCGGTGATGTGGCGTTGAACGGCATCATAAGCTCTGGGTTTGGGAGCGCCCCCACCGGGGATCTGGCTGCTTAGAGGAGGGGCCTGATGGTGCAGGTGCCTCTGGAGCCGGATTGAAGCGCGTGTATTAAGCTGTTGCGGGGACTCAGGGTCTGGAGACCTCGTGTGCTGGGAGGTTGGAGACTCTGCCATCCTGACAAGCTCCTCCGCGGGTCGCGCGAGGGGCGAGGCGGACGTAGGAGATACTCCCGGGGTGCCCGCGATAACTTAGATCAGTTGCTGTGGTTTTTAGGGCCCCAGTGAAGGTTACCCAAAAATCGAAAGATTGGTGTTCGGTGGCTAAGATCTGATCACTGTACGCGCGCTTCAATGGCGAGAAACAGGCAACGTCAAGTAGCTGCAGGAGGTGTGACGAGTGTAGAGGCATATAGAGGGCAATAATCTTCTTCTCCTTGCAGCAATCCTAGAAATCTATTAAGCAATAGCTCTTGTGGCTGTTAATAATTAGCAGCCTATACGCTCCTACAGGCCTCACATGTGTATTAAAGTAATTAAGCCAGGCAAGTGCTAGATTGTTATTTGTCTAGCCTGTTAGGCTTACTTAAATAACCTAATTACGTAGGAGGTCCTTAGTAAACTAGTTAGAGATAAGAACCTTGCTAGCAAAGATAAGGAAGGGTAGGATAACACGCCCTGTTGCGCTAACACCCTGTATTAACATAGTCTACTTATAATTACTAGGCTAAAGCTTCTTTGCTTTCCTAGGTTTCTCTATGCCTATTATAATAAGTTATAAAGATATCTTGCCTATTAGGAAGCTAGACTTGTTAAAGTTGTACATGTTGTTGTCTATAATACCATACTTTGCCTTTATATTCTAAACTAGTGTAAACTAGGGCTTAATAATCGCTGGGTCTTCGCAGAGAGCTTGCTGGTGATTGTATGGACGAGTCTAGCGCGTGCGCAGCTTAGGTGTACGCTTAATAAACCTGTCAACCTAGCATTTACTAACAGGCTCACCGCCACGGTCGCGCAGCAGTCTATCAGCCATATCTTGTACGTGTAGCTTTAAGGGCGGTACTCTATGTAGGTTCTTGTCAAGTATACGCTGTAGAATTACCTCCTCTTCTAGCTTCATCAGGCGCTTTAATCTAGGCTCGCAGTTGCGTCTAGAGGGCTTCCTGTCACGTTGTTGTTGTATTGTCCTACAAGGAACACTGTAGACTGCCTCAGCACGTCGCAGGCTTGTAATCTAGTCGCATTTAATGTTAGAGAGGGCAAGCTGCACGTCAGCTTCAGTATAGGGCTTGTGAGGTTGTGGTTGTTAAGACATTACGCGTTGAGTGTCGCGCATGCGCTTTGCTGGTGTTCGTGGGGCGCTCACTGAGGTGGGGCGCTCACTGATAAAACAGGTTACGTAAAATTTTGTAATTTTTAAATATTTAATGCTAGTACTAGCACTAAGGGTAGCTATGTAACAACGTTGCAATGTTATTTTAAGTTTATTAAATATAGGCACTTAGCGTTTTAGCTGTTAGCAATGTTGGCGCAAAATTAGGGCTATTAGGCGCAAATTAGGGCCGTTGGGGCCGTTGAACGGCCGTTGCAAGACCATGCCACAACTGTCAGCAACGGCCGGTCTAGGCCGGATTTCGAAAAACTTTTCCCGATGTAGCAGCGCTGCAGATACTGCGAAATTGGCTAGCATAGAAGGCCTAGATAGCAAGGATAACTCTGCCTTCTCTAGTAGTATTCTAAAGTTGTTGTTGTTAAGGCATGTTGTGTTAGGGTAAAAGGTGGTCGTGCCAAGAGAAAGTGGCCGGTTCGGTGATATGGCCGGCTCGGTGATAATCTACGTTAGGTGTAGAGAATATGTCCTAGTGTTCTTATTATCCTAGCACTCATATATGCCTCGTAGCGGATTCACACCTATTCCAGATATCTCTCTTCTTGCCTACGTCGTTACACAGCCTAGTTAGTTCCTTCTCCCACGCACATGTAGATAAGCGCTCTTCTGTAGTACTAAAATACACAAGATCGCCCACCACATTCATCATATCGTCTTAGTACTACCAATACAGGATCTTCTTGGCAATGTGGCTCTTCACAAGAATGCAGCTTTTGCCAGGATATAAGGCGCCGAGGGCAACGCTGACCAAGCTCCAGCAAATTGTGCACCGTTGGCGTGAATAGAGCAAGCAACGCCTGACTAGAAAATCTAGCTGACGGGACGGAGACTCAACCTGGCGCCGTTTGCCTTGAGGACAGTGGTTCGAAGGTGAAGACAAAAGGTATATAGTTTACAGAGATGGAGAGATCGCACATCTTGATGTCGTCTTGGTCTGAGCTGGACAACTAGAAGTCCACGTTGTTATACGAAAAACATTATACATCGTACACAACCGCAATGCGCCCAGCAAAGTGATACGGGCTAAGAAGTCAAAAATTTGCGCGTGACAATGTTTTGTATTTGATCGGATCTGAATATTTTCAAGAAAGCTTGATCTGACAGTTATCAGGGGTCGTTTAGTGCGCAAATCTGAAGTCCAGACGCTTGTTGCCCTTCTCCTTTGTGGTAGCCAGATATGTCTTCTTATCTTCCAATGACATGGAGCGCCAGATCGCCTCCCTCCTCTTGTTGACTGTCACATAGAACATCTTTGCTCCAATAAACAGCGCAAAGTTGTACGCACATATCGCAATCAGCACCTTGTTGCCCCTACGGTACAACGGCTTGTCGTTTTCGCGATATATGTTCTGTGAAATGATACTGCCGGCCTGCACCGTCATGTTGTATATCGCCGAAGCTACAGTACGGGTTCGCACCGTGCCAGCATTGCGTGACGTGATGGCGACGAGGATGGCGTGTACGTATGGGTGCCCGACAATCATGATAGCCAAAACCCAGCGAGCCCATGGCGAGGTACTCGGAGAGATACATTCTAGGGCGATGAGTAGTGGAAGAGCCCAGATCTGAGAGACAAGACCGACAAGGAAGCGATCGTTGACTTTCTCGGACACCCAGGTCCAGAATAGAAGTTGAACGATAAAGAGCACATAAGCTGGAATCTGTGAAGCGTTAGTATGCCGACGAATGACGTGCGACAGAACTACTCACTGTGAGCAGATTGGTGTCGAAGGTTCCGAAGCCGAGAGATCGCAGCTGGAGAGTGAGGTATGATGAGACTGGGTTGAAGGGAATGGTCCAAGAGAGGCCGATCAGATAGATCGGCCACATATGGTAGTCCTTGAGACATTCCCAGAACATCGAAAACGAAAGGCCTTGGCGGTTGTGCATATCGCCCTTCGAGGGATCATCGCGAAGAATACGGTTGACCATGATCTTCTCTTCGCGCTCATCAAACCAGCCCTTCTCGCCTCTAAAGGGGTTGATCTTGCTCGTAGTTGCAGACTGTGTTGGTGATGGCGGCAGGTAAAACCAAGCAGCGATACCAATGAAACCAGTGAGCATGCCCTCTAAAGCGAACAGCCACCTCCAGCCCTCCATACCGTTGCGTCCACCTAGACGCAAAATACCAAAGGCTAGGAATGCGGAAATGATCTGTGTAGATTGATAAGACACCCAGAACCAGCTGAGGCGAGCGGGCAGCTCGAGACCGGTGTAGAAATAGCTCATATAGAGGATGTTGTCCGGAATGAAGCCACCTTCGATGAGTCCGAGCAGCGCACGGCAGGCGTAGAAGGAACTCTTACCGGTCAAAAAGGCTTGCATACTAGCTACTAAACTCCAGGACACCATCTGTATCGGAATCCAATTATCTGGCCCAATCTTCTTGCTTATGAGCTGAGACGGCAGCTCAGCGCACAGAAAGCAGATGAAGAAAATTGTTTGGCCTAAATTATATTCATTGGTGTTCATACCAAGATCGTTGAGGAGATTGTCCGAGAGCGCCTGGCTGATGTTGCCTCTGTCTAGCTGGAGCGCAAAGAACATGAGACATACAAAAGTACATATCCTTTTGTCAATCTGCAGACATTAGTAGCCTCCCGGTATCAATGAGGACAACTCTCATACCTTCCTGATGATCCTCTTCTCTTCCTCGGGTTCCCATTCGAAATCGGGGTCATATCGATGAAGACCCTCATAGGTGTCGATGGGACGGTAGTAACTGTCCTTCAAACCACTAGCGACCCAAGTCGCTCCCTTCTTACAGACACTGACGTGTTCAAGGCTCGTCTGACTCGAGCTGGCACTCGAAGTATCACTCTTCAGATCCCCAGCTTCCGGAAGACCAGTGGTGTTGGGCGCGTTACTGGCCATGGCGTGCCAATGCTCGAGGTTTCTTGGAAGGTCTTGGGAACCTCCTGGATGGGGGATTTCACTTCAGTATAAATGGATCGGAACGCATCCATTTTAAGAGAAGCGATGAGTTTTTTTCCATCCTGGCAAAGGTACGTCGTCAAAATGGCAACCCAACATGAACCTATTCATCTCTAGTGTGACAGCCCTAATGTGGACCATCCGTAAGCACGTACGGGCGCAGTCCCACATTCCGCATTTTTGGCAGCGCTCCTCGGGGATAGATGGGACAACTATGTCTCAATAGCCAACATATCGCACATCAGCTCCTAGTGTTAGCCTTCTGCACCGACTCTTGCCAATAAAAGGCCTAGGAAGTTTGTCAGCTATACGTAGCATTTGTGTTCCAGATTGTGTGATTCGCGGTCGGTAAAGTACCGGTGTCGTCGAAAATGGGTCAACGTAAAGCGGGTTGTGATTGATTCGTCGCGTGGTGGTTTGATTGGGCATTGCGTCATTGGCCGGGTACGTAGCGACATCAGCCGCGAACATTGGACCCGCGATGGTGCCATTAACATTCCTTCGGCTCGAGGGTTCTTCTGGTGCGAGATCGGTCGCACACGAGTCATTGCGGGCAAGAGCGCCTGCATGTCGCCTAAAGTCATATAGACCATCCTATATCGGACGCGTGACGCTGCGGCAAGAACGTATGAAGTGATTTCGTGCATTCTGATGCCATCAACGTCCAACCTGATTAGACCGGCAATATTGCGGTATTCATTTGGGGCTCGCCCTTTCACCATCGTCGTATCGGAAGCGATGCGTCTCGCGATATGATGGTAGTCCCGTTGCTGTGCCCATGCTGTGCAAATGGCGTCCAATCAACGGGCTGCGAGCACGTCTTTTGTTGTATAAGAGACGCCTTGGTCCACTAGTAAGTTCTTTGCCGACGTTCAATTCGAACTTCGATCTCCAGAGCTCATACCCAGCTTCACAATGGCTCCCGCACTCGTCGACACAGTCTTTCATGAGCAGTCGGCAGTCGACTTCAAGTCGCAAGCCGGCCAATACAAGGAAGCCGCGTTTGGTGGACCCAAGCTATACAAGAAGGAACTCGAATTGAGGGGTTCTGGCGAGCATGCGCCAGCAAGATACCCCAACTACCTCCCAGTGTGGGACTTCGAGAAGAAGTACCCCCCTCTTGAGCCCTTCGAGCACTACGAGCATGGTAAAGATGCCGACGCATCGTTCTCAAACCTCTTGAAGGACGCCGAGATTGTGGAATTGACTGCGAACATTGGTGCTGAGGTTCGTGGCGTGCAGCTCAGCAAGTTGACTGATGCTGGCAAGGACGAGCTTGCCTTGTTCGTCGCTCAGAAGAAGGTCGTAGCTTTCCGTGACCAGGACTTTGCAGATCTTCCCATTCAGGATGCTCTGAAGATTGGTGGCTATTTCGGTCGGCATCATATCCACCCAACATCAGGAGCGCCAGAGGGCTTCCCGGAAGTTCATCTCGTCCACCGCGGAGCTGACGACACAACTGCTCGCGACTTCTTCGAGGAGCGAACAAACTCGATCACATGGCACTCGGATGTCACTTATGAGAAGCAACCTCCGGGCACCACGTTCTTGTACTTGTTGGACGGACCGGCAGCAGGGGGAGACACATTGTTTGCCAATCAGGCAGTAGCGTACCGAAGGCTTTCGCCTGAATTTAGGAAGCGACTAAATGGTCTCAAGGTTATCCACTCAGGTATGTCGTGATATTGAAGACTTGTTGAACTTTTGCTGATCACGATGCAGCCGTTGAACAAGCCGACAACAGCAGGGATCGAGGAGGTGTCGTCCGCCGTGAGCCTGTCACATCGATCCACCCGCTTGTGCGCACGCATCCTGCAACTGGCGAGAAGGCACTATTCGTGAACCCTCAGTTTAGCCGTCGCATTGTTGGCTTCAAGAAGGAGGAGAGCGACTTCCTGTTGAACTTCCTCTACGACCATGTCGCCAAGGGCCAGGACTTCCAGGCTCGCGTCAAGTGGGAGGCAGGTACAGTTGTTGTTTGGGATAACCGGGTCACTGCACACTCAGCGCTATTGGACTGGGAGGATGGTGCGCGCAGGCATTTGGCAAGAATCACGCCGCAGGCCGAGGCGCCATACGAAACGCCTTTCGAGGAGCAAAACAGCGGCGCCATCGGCTTTGAATACTGAAAAATATTGCTGGTAATAGGATAAGTTCCATGAAAAGCTCAAAATGTGATACCTGTGTACTGTGCTGAGGACCTGGAGGCCGCCCTGTGAACACAGCTAAGCTCGAAACGAGCAATATCATGGAAACGCCTGGAGGCAGTCGCTCAGCCTTTGTATCCAATAATTAGATACCCGAGCTAGTTAAGAGAGCCTGTAGCAGTTGTCTGGCAAAGACATGTAGGCTTGAACACGCGAAGCGCACCTGCATCATGTAGACGCCTGGAGGCAGTCACTGAATTTTTACTCAATGATTACAAACTCGAGCTTGTGGTAATAATATCGTGAAGATGCGATCAAAGCTTGCCTGTCATTTACCAACCCTGAAATCCAAAGATGGTGTTATATTCCTCCTAATCTCATTCCTCCATCGCCATAACCGTCCGCATTAACAGCCCATTCACCTGCAAGAAGCCGACGTCTGCTCGCGGCTTTCCTCTGATCTCCCTCTCAAGGATCTCGTCTGCCTCACTAATCTTTGGCTTGCTGTCCATCTGGGTCACCATTTGATCGAAGTCGCCTCCGTAATCTTCACGTAGTGAGTGTTCGCAGGCGAAGCAGAGCCTGAGATGGCATCCAGTGACCTCCATCTCTTCCTGACCCGTAATATCCAGCTGTACCTTGCAACATCCATAGGAAGCTGGTGAGAAGCAAAGGGAGCACCATCTCTGTAGCTGATACTGGACGTCGGCGCCTCCGGGTTCTACCTCATTAAGCCCATCTGCAAGAACATCGTGGTCAACAGCTGCGTCTACCTGCTGCTCGAACTCATGGCCGGCGCAAGCAACAATTTGCACCCTGTGGTTGGTGCATTCCCTGCACATCATTGTCGGACCCGTGTCTGAACAGCGCCCTCCGCCGACTTCGGCGTATCCTAGACCGTTATGCCAGCGGATGACGTGCACTTCGCGCTCAAAGTAGCCGATCATACCGAAGATGGGAATCTCGCAGAAGTTGCAGAGCGGAGCCTGGAATCGAATAGGATGCGCAAAAGAGGTTGTGATCTTGGTAAGCATGCCTTTGTTGCCCTCCCCATCCTCCATCTCCATCTCGGATGTTGGCTCGCGCTCCAGGATCTGTGTGCTCCGCCGGCCCATGTCTGCGAGGTCTTCTCACGTAAAGATATTATCTCTAGGCTTCATAACCTCCTGCGTAATCGTCCCGGGCGAGGGTTTTTTCTTTGCTGTTCCGTTTTCGTTAACGAATTTAGGTAGGTGGAAGAACGTGCAGCCAAGATTGTTCTTCCCGCAATACCTGCAGGGCGGTTTGTCCTCTTTCCCTTTCAAGGTGCAACGCTTCTTGTCTTTGCGACAGGCTGTGCAGGCGACGTGGGGTCTGTCTGGACCCCAAATGACCTCTTCGATGTTAATGCGCGAAGCCTTGTAACCTTGGGGCGGCAAAGCCTCGCAAATGTGATCGTTATCAGCGCAGTGATCGCAAATCGGCTGTGGGATCGTTTTGGAAAGAGTAGACCTCTTCATTGACCTGATCGCACTGCTTGCATCTGTCTTTCACTGCGATTTCTTGGATAGGCTGGCATTCACTGCCATCCTCAGTGCACTCTTCACAAGGATACGTGCCATCTTTCACCATCGAGCACGGCTGCTCAAGCTTGCGGCACTGCTTACAGCCTCTTGCTTCAGGGTGTCCGGTAAATTCGTCAAATTTGCCAGCAGGATCTTCGAGAGGTGATAGCTGGCCGCGGTCAGGTGTGTTGACGCGAAATGCCGCTCGGTACTCCTCGAGCTCACGCCCTTGCTCAGAGTCGATTTCAGACCAATCTTCAGGGCAACGCTGCTCGTCGTTCTTGATGTTGCGCACGTTGCTGAACGCGTCAAAGGGGAGCTTGACGATGCACTTCATGACGTAGTCTCTCGGCACACCATTCTTGCCCTTCTTCTTTCTCGTTTCCTTATTGTCCTTCTTGGCTACTTTGGCGTGAACCAGCTTAGTCGCCCTCTCCTTTGCTTCCTGATCGGGGTCGAAATCGCCGGACTTATCGGTATCAATATGCGCGATAGTCTTCTGACGATTGATGTTTCGGCGCAACTCATAGTAAGGCTAGGACAGGGTGTCAGATTCTGCTAAACACTAAAATAGATCGAGTGAGCTTACCGTGGTATCTGGAGCAATGACAAATTTGTCGTCAGAGAGAGCGGGTGAGTCGCCAGCGCTACCAATGTCGGAGTACGCCAGGCCGAAGCCATTTCTCGTGGGTTGTTCAACCTCGTCACCACCTTGTTGTTGATCGAGGGTAAAGCTTGACATGTAGTGACCAAGACCGTGTCCAGGCGTTGCAGATACAAAGAGGCTATCGACTTGTTTATCGGTCTCCATCTCTTCATCAGCTCCGCCAAACAAGGACTGGCGCGGTTTCTTCGCTCGAGCGTGTGGTGCAGGGTCTTCGCCTTGGTCCTCAGAGCGCCTTGGCGACTTTGTGCCTTTCGCAGCATTCGCAGCCTGTTTCCTAGCTTGGTGGCTAGGCCAAGATCGCTCGAATGCTTCTCCGCTCCCTCCATCGTCAGAAAATCTGGGGGGAAATTGACGATGGTTGAGCTCTTGTCCGTCATTCTCATGTTGACCTAGTTGAACACGAGTCCTCGTATCATCCCCATTCTGCAGTTGGTTGAAGGACCAAGCGGCAGTAGGTACGGTGCCTTGAACTGACGTGTACTGTGACATCTGGTCCTCGTTTATAGTATCGTCTGCATCAGGTCCGTGAGGAAGGTTGAACTCGAAGTTGACATCGGGTCTAGCTGCTAAGGTTCCGTACATCGTTTCGGCCTTGTTGTCGCTGTTGTCGATCTTGAAAGTGATCTTGAGGAAAGCTTTCGGTGAAAATAATGAAGTCAGAAGCAAGGGTTCGTAGTGATGGAAGAATAGGTGGTGGCGGTCCTTGATCAACGGATGGCATCACCGCATAGGGAATGTGAAGTGTGAGGTTTACATGTGTTGTGAGTCGTGAAGTGTATTGTACGAGGGTCCAGTGTTACTCTTATAGCGGCTGTAACACTAGCGAGTGAGGGTCAGGTCATATGGAAAGTGTAGAGAGGGCGGCCTCGAAGTGAGAGACAAGCTATGGGAAAGCCTCCCAGGACTCTGATATGCAGAAGTGAGACGATATCTGCTTGGGCAATGGTGCACTACTGAGAAGCGGACGGTCAGCATTGGCAAGGATTTGACGTGGAGCAGTCGTGTGCTCAGCTTGAGCTGAAGACTTCACGTCACGTTTCGAAAAGAAAAGACAGAACCAGAAACAAGAATTTGAAGAGAGGCATCAACAGGCAATCTGAAAGAAATTAGGAAGGCACATGGCAAGGCTTCGGGAACAGACAAGATTGGATAATTTAAGAGAACTGGAAAGCGAAAGCAGAATCTTTGACGAAATTGCAACGGAACCTTGATGCAGTGCGTTCCGTTCGGTTTAGAGCAAATGGTTTTGAATGCTGAGTTGCGTCAGCGGGACTGGCCAAACCAGAAGAGCCATTTCTGTTGGCTTTCATGTCGAGATCTTCCTAGCAAAGTGGCACAGATACAGCAGCCCACTACGGCAAGACACGATGCAAAGACTGCCTCCCTCGCAGTGGTTGCGTTCCAACAGAGTCTACCTGCGTGTTCATAGCTGACAGTAAGTGGTACAGACGCTGACCTTCGAGTTTGACACTGACAAATCTCGGTGTTCCAGAAATTGATGGCAAACTTGTAGCATTGCGAATTATGGAAAGCCTTGTAGTCGTTAGAAGAGTCCGTGGTGAAGATGGCAGCCCGCCCACGCCAGCACGGGCCACAGTGCAAAATGTACAAATTATCTCCTGCTTCGTGCGTCTGTCGTTGCACCACCACGCCATCATGAAGCTCGTCGCAGGTTCTGCATACCTGCGATGGGCGTCATGGCGCAATCGATGAGTTTATATCTGGTTCGGCATGGAGAGACGGTTGACAATGTTGCTCAACTCTAGTACGCCGTCTGTCACTCGAGCTATTCAAAACTTCTGCTAACCAACGAGCAGCGCCGGCAGCAGGGATTCTGCACTTACCAACCATGGTTATCAGCAGGCGACGCGTCTCGGGTTACACTTCATGGCGCTCGGCCTGACCTTCACGCACCTATTTTCGTCCCATCTGCAGCGCGCAGCCAAGACCGCCGGTCTGATCAGAGAGGCCCAGCTTTCACAGGAGCACGACGTCGAAGCCCTGCGAGATACGCCGGAGGTCACACAATTGCGCGTTCTGATGGAGCAAGATTTCGGGGACTTGGAGGGCAAGAAGTGGACAGACATCCAGGCAGAGTTGCAGAACAAGCCAGGCTTTGTTGCTGTTGAGACGAAAGAGGCTATGGGCCGACGTGCAGACACCTTCTTAGACGAACACCTGCTGCCATTGCTCGGTGAAACGACTGGCAGCGGTCATGTTACAGTCGCCATTGTGTCTCACGGCATCTTTCTCTCTACGCTCTGGAAGCGAATGCTCCGCCGGCTGCCCGCGAAGAGCATCACATTGTCTCCAGACCTGCGTTCGACTGCCCGCCCATCGTTGGAACACTTGGGAGGATGGTCGAATACAGGATATCTTGAGCTACACATGACGTCAGGCGAACCAGAGAAACCTCCTCGCCTCGCAGGTGCGGCGCCGTCTCCAACATCGAAATCAGACGTGTCGCACCCTGTTGAGCCTAGAACAGGTGATACGATTGGCGCTGTCGAGGTCACCCAGATGGCTGCACTGAAGACGATTGGCGAAGTCGGAGCCCCGCAGGCCGCCCGCGAAGAGGTTGCCAAAGCCGTCGACACGACACCAGCTGCAGCTGCTCCAACAACACCCACAGCACCTTGCCCCTGTGGACCGGGCATTATTCACAGTTGGACTACGACAATAACGACCATCAACGGCAAGGATCACCTGAAAGGCCTCAAGCGCACTGGTGGTGGTGTGGGTAGCTCTCGCCATGACTCATCTCAGAAAGGCATCGAGAGCTTCTTCAAGCGTCGTAAGGTGGACTGAACAATGCGGATCTGCGCATACCGCGAATAGCTCTCCAGGTTCACGACACCGGTAAGTCGCAATTCCCTCTTCATCACAAGTCTCACCCCATCCCATGCAATGATGAAAAATCAATATTCACAGACCTGTTCTGAACCCAAGTGTGGACTCAACATTGATCCAACTGCTGTCTGAAATCGCATCTACATCACCGTTTTTGCCTTTGCGCTGGCCTAGAACTCCTGCTGACAAGTGTCGTAGACATGTCTTGCTAGCCCGAGGGGCACTCGCAGTGACGGCCACGAAGTGGCTCTTCTGGATTGTAGTTGGGATCGTAGACAGCAACGGAATGGCATTCAGTCTTTGTGCACATCCGCTCTGTGTGACAATACATTCCTGCATGATCGATCAATCGGACCAGACCTCTTCAGGAGATCTGCCACACGGTACTGCAGTCACAATTACAAACAGAGGCTGGTTATCTAGCCGTAAGCCACTATGCAGGCACAAAATGCGGGCCTCGGTGGTGAATGGCTGCTGTGTTGTTTTCCAAGAGGCAGGTGCGTCCGTGCATTCCCTCTACCTCGTAACATCTTGACCTGTCAAACACGACAAGTCAACGTGTCTAACAAGTCCAAGTCACCTCAGTGTTTGTGCCGCACTCTCTATGCGCCGTCAGTTTGCCCCAGCCATGCGGTGAGCCCTACGCCCGTTGTACAAACATGATTTGGTGTGCTTGAGGTGGCTGGGATCTGCCAACCTCATCAGCCCCATTTTTACACCGGTTTGCCAACGCATTTAGCCTCATATATCTAAAATCACATCGACGACTGGAATGCACCTCTCTCCTTGTGTCCATTCCGAATACCAAATCTCTAATTCCTAATTATCGTCCGAGTCAAGGATTGAGAAATATCTCGACCTGCAACTGGCCAATCAGAGCACGACAACTTAGCGATGCCAACCACCATGGCGCGTATAACCTCCATCTGGACATTGACAGCTTTGTCGACAACTGTACTTGCCCATGTACCTGCAAAGTCCAACTACACAAACAGTACGATACTTTTGGTGTCTTGAAATCTCAGCAACTGACCTCTTGCAGCAGCTACATCAGAGGTTCCATTTCTGCACTACTCGACATCGCTTGTTGAAATTTCTTGTGTTGCTTCGACTGCTACATCGATATCGACATCACCACCTTCTTCGGAGCCATGTGAGACGGAAACTGCGGCTCCATACCCCCCAATCCTGGTATTCAGCACCTACGGTTATATAAGCTCTGAACCATTTTCTTCGTCCGTCGAACACGAGTTGTCAAGTTCGACAGGCTATACATCAGTGTCAACCTACCCTACATCTGTAGGTGTTGATACAATAGCTTCCACCTGGCTGCCGCCTTCCTATACCCAGGCGGTACCTTACTACCCCAGCAGCGTGGTGTCATCAACTTGGCTCGGACCGTCCTACACCGTAGTCATTCCGCTGCCTCCCAGCTCAGTACCAGCGTCTTCTGTGACGTCAAGCCTATCAATGCCTGACATCCCAAGCTCTGCGGTGTACCCTACTGAAACTTCTTCTGCATCTGGATCTAGCAGTCGGACAAGATCGGTGCCATCATCCTCGGCGACTGTCGTTATTCCTGTACCTCCACCCCAGTACTCGGGCTCTGCTCCAGCTGCCTCACCTGCAAGCTCTTCAGTCTCTGTGGCTCCCACACTCCCAGCTCCAGCGCCGAGTCTCACTTCAAGCGTGCTAGCCTCAAGCTCACGAACTATCGTAATTCCAGTCCCTCCAACTGAGACACTGAGCTCGTCACTAGCTGCGTCTTCCAGCAATGTTGTCAGCTCAGCACCTATCTCCTCACAGTCTTTGCCGACATTCTCTCTGGAGACCTCGCTGCTCTCCTCTGTGCTGTCTTCTGTTGCTCCGACCGGGATCGTTGTAGTACCAACCTTGAGCAACACTGTTGAGTCGTCATCTTCGCCAACCAGCTCAACACTCCTATCTTTGAGCACTACAGCATCGTCAACGCCCAGCGAAACGCCATCAAGTATTGCATCTTCTTCAGATGCAGTTACTCTCCCATCTTCTGGTGCTGCATCGTCATCTGAAGCTACCCGCACTCCGTCTTCCAGCACCAGAGGTGCATCCTCCGTTGGGTCTTCAACAGTCCACCCTTCAGTCTCCATACCGGTGACCATATCGACTGCGACCCGGCCAACGGCAGCAGGCTCTTCCGTTCGCTACACCCTCTCCATATCAGCAACATCAAGCTCATCTGCGCCCGCAGAGACAACTACTGGTCCTCCACCTGCGCCGCCTGTTCAGACCGGAACCGCGAGCGCCCTGGATACGAGGCGAGTGTGGTGGTTGTCATTCCTGCTCTCAGCGCTGCTCTTTGTTTGAGGTGTGGCTGGTATCGAACGAAAGATACGCTTACGATTCTTGTATGTTTACGGATCTTACGATAACTTACTACTTTAATGTTTCAACGATATAGTGGGACGGTAATCTCTGGCCGGCAATCAGGTGTTTGGGGCTGGGAATAAATTTGAACAGAGATCTGGTGTAGACTACTGCAGGTACATAGATGATATCTTGAACAGTTTATACATTATGTCCTGAGTTCAACATCAGCACATGAACCTCGCACTCTCGTCCACTTGCGTACACATGTGAGAAACGCATGCAAGAGTGCGATCCGCTTCAAGCTTGAATAACATACCATGAAACAACCTGCTTCCATCGCGACAACGGCCCGCGACTGACCTACGGACGACGGTGACACCACCGACCGAACGAAGCACACGGCAAGGTCACCTCATGTGGATCGACTTCCATCAGCCGCTCAGCGGTCGCCTTACTGCCCTCGGCCAACGGACCCTGCTGCTCCGGGATTCATCCCTAGTTTCCGCAAGGCTGCGGTCTAGCGTCCGCGCATCTGCAAATCGTTCTTGTCAAGATCTGGGGTCAACGCGGAGAGACGTCTGCGAAGCTTGAGGGCGGGGGGCTTCTTTTGCCGGTTAGCACGTTTTAGCGCAGCCACTAAATCTTCCGCCAATGACCTAATCTTACTCTTCATCCTCAACCTTTCGCGGCATCATCGGGTCGATCTCGCGCCTCCACGCAGGTCTGATGCGGAGCATATCACTACGACAATGGTGACGGCAATGCTGCAAGTGATGGAAACTATCACGTCTTACGATGTTCTACAGCTAGGCCTCGCAGCCGCTTCTGCCTCTCGATATAACACACTCGCCGCGGTGATGCAGGTCGCTTCCTGCTCGTACCAGACCTTGTTATCAGATCATGCTTACCGCTCTCCCGGCGAGGTAATATGAGATGCAGATGCATAAACTGCGGGGAAATAACCGTACGGCCATCTTGGTCAACTGTCCGGGTAATTTGGATCTCTGCATGCTTTCTTACAATATGAAAGCTATAAGAGTACGATCGATGTACCTTGTTATCTTAACAGGACGCGTCAACCGATAATATCTTCAGGATGAAGTTTCTCTCCCTTGAGGCAGCCCTGCTCATTGGATCGTCGCTGGCAGCGTCCGCCAGTGCGATCGATCTGGTCCGCAGACGGGCTGCAGCCAATGCTACATATAAGGACCCCAATGCGTCAATCGACGACCGAGTTTCAGACTTGCTCTCACGCATGACCATTCAAGAAAAGACCTCTCAGCTGATTCAAGGTGACATTTCCAACTGGATCAACACTACGACCAATGCCTTCAACGCTACCGGTATTGCCTGGAACTTTGAGAAGCGTGGCGGTCAGTTCTACGTGGGGTATCCCGTCGAGCAGCAATGGATCGTGGGTGGAATCAAGAGGGCGCAGGATTACATCCAGCACAACACGACACTTGGCATCCCAGCCTTGGTCCAGACTGAGGGTATTCATGGTCTGCTTGTCGGCAATGCGACTGTTTTCAACAGTCCGATTGCGCACGCATGTTCTTGGGATCCGAAGGCCATCCATGAAATGGCTGTCATCATTGGCAAGGAGTGAGTCGATGCTTTCCAGCTTCATTCACTACTTATGTTGACATTGCACGTAGATCACATGCCCTTGGCATAAATCAGATCTTCGCACCAGTTGTTGACTTGGCGCGTGAACTTCGCTTTGGTCGAGTTGAGGAGACATATGGCGAAGACCATTACCTTGCCGGGGAGTTCGGCTATAATTACGTCAAGGGTATCCAAAGCCAGGGCGTGGCCGCAACCGTGAAGCACTTTGCTGGCTTCTCAGCACCCGAGCAGGGTATCAATACTGGACCTGTGCACGGAGGCGAGCGTGAGCTCCGAACCACGTGGCTCCCTTCGTTCAAGCGTACCATCATCGATGGTGGGGCTTACAGCATTATGGGTGCATACCACTCGTATGACGGCATCCCATCAATCGCCGATTACCTTCTCCAAGAGACCATCTTGCGTGAAGAGTGGGGCTATGAGTACTTCATCACCTCTGATGCCGGTGCTACGGACCGTCTATGCTGCACGTTCAAGCTCTGCCGATGCAAGACTGCTGACAAGCCGATCGACAAGGAGGCTGTAACCCTGTATGCCCTGCCAAACGGCAATGATGTCGAGATGGGTGGCGGCTCGTATAACTTCGAGATCATTCCTCAACTTGTCGAAGAGGGTAAGCTCGATATCGAGACCGTCGATCGTGCAGTGTCTCGCCAGCTTAAGGCCAAGTTTGCATTGGGTCTCTTCGAGCATCCATACAGTGCGCTTCCAGCCAACGAGACAAAGTCTGTTATTCACACTAAAGAGAGCGTCGACTTCGCACGCAAGCTGGATGCTGAGTCTATTGTGCTTCTCGAGAACAAGAACCAGAGTCTTCCTCTATCTAAGTCCGCCAACATAGCCGTCATTGGACCCATGGCCAACTTCACCAACTACGGAGACTACGTCGTCAAGGAGGCAGCACTGAATCCAGCTAACGTCAACCCCCTGCAGGGTATTCAAGAAGCTACTAACGGAACCGTCACCTTCGCTCAAGGCTGCCAACGCTGGTCATCAGACGAGTCTGGCTTCCCTGAAGCTGTTGCCGCGGCAGAAGCTGCCGACGTCGCTGTCGTCCTAGTCGGCACATGGTCCCGCGATCAATTCGAGCTCTGGCAAGGTCTCAACGCCACGACCGGTGAACATGTCGATGTCGCGTCTCTCAACCTCGTCGGTGCCATGGGCCCGCTTGTCCAAGCCATCATCTCGACAGGGAAGCCTACCATCGTCGTCTACAGTTCTGGCAAGCCTATCACCGAGCCCTGGATCAGCGAGAATGCACATGCTCTCGTCCAGCAATTTTACCCCGGTGAGCAAGGTGGCCACGCTCTCGCCGACGTCCTCTTCGGTGACGTCAACCCCTCTGGCAAGCTCTCTGTATCCTTCCCTTACGACGTCGGTACCCTGCCTATCTACTACGACTACCTGAACTCCGGACGCTACACTGAGGCCGGCAAGATTTGGCCCAATGGTACACTACAGTTTGGACACCAGTACGTGCTCAACAACCCGCAGCCACTGTATGAGTTCGGATACGGTCTTGGCTACAGCAACTTCACCTACTCCAATATCACGCTGTCCAAGACCGAGGTCGCTGCCAATGAGAAGATCACGGCGAAGGTCAGCGTTACGAATGAGGGCAAATGGGATGGCAAGGAGGTTGTGCAGATCTATGTCCAGGATCTTATTGCCAGTATTGTTGTGCCCAACATTGAGCTCAAGGGGTTCAAGAAGGTACTGATCCCTGCGGGAGAGACTGTAGATGTCAGCATCGATCTTGATGTGAGCAAGTGGGGTCTTTGGAACGGTGCCATGAAGTACGTCGTTGAGAAGGGGGAATTTCTTGTGCACGTCGGGGCTAGCTCGAAGGATCTTAGGGCCAACGGTACCGTTACAGTTGTCTAACAGATAGGCCACACGAATAATGTGTAGGTCTTGCGCTCGCAGTTAGGGTCGCAAATAGGATCTTGCTCATGCAACACAGAGATGAATTGCATCAGGAGCTTTCGGATTCACGAGTGCATATCTCCAACCCTAGTGCACCGCCCGCCTCCACTGGCAATCGGCTTGCTGCCAAAACTTCATTTGGCTGGGGGTGCGGTGCTCCTTCACATGCATTTTACACCATAACGTCTGACTTCATCAAAATCTGATACAAGACTCATTCCTGCATCTCGTTTGTCTGCTTGTTCAGCCCGACTGGATTACAAACGCCATTTCTCAACCTTGCCTAAAACGCACCACCAACATAACGAGCCAGCCTCCCACACTGCTCGAGAAGCATCGGTGGTAGACAGTCTCTACAACGACGATTCGTCGACCACTGCCCCTCGAACCCTTCCCGTCAGGAGATCGCGTCCCACGCGCATTAGACTGAAGAAGAGCAAACGTCTATCTGAACGTAACGTACGTGGCCGCTTCGTGCCCGGGCATGACCAATGCATTATATGCTTTAGGAAGGTGAAGCGGAACCAGGTAGAGCAGATATTGTGCCGATGGGTGGTGGTTCGAACTACGAGAGGCCGTCTGAACGGACTATTTTACCTTCGCCGTCCGAGGACTGACCGGTGACTTATCGATACCGAGGGGAAGGGTGGAGGTGGAAGGCACGGAATAGTTGGTTCTGGAATACATCAGGCTCCAGTTAAGTGCTCATACTTCACAATACACACCAACGTCTATTTTCCATATGACCGCTACTATGTAACGTTCGAGTTATGCAAATACAACGACCAATCCGCTTCCCTTCCCGCCCTGTCCCATGCGCCTCTTCAGACCGTACTCTTGCGGCTATGTCTTCTAGCGTTCTACAAAAGACGTTCATGCACATTCGTACTAGGCGCTACAGCGCTACTCGCGTTCTTGAGAGAGGTCCCAGATGTCGTGAAGTCGGCTCGGAGTTCGAGAACCGATGTGCACTCGTCGCACGTATACCGGCGGCTGTGTTTGCGCTTCGTCTGCATCGAAGGCGTGATGTCATTGGTTCTTGGAACCTGTTTTCTCATGCTCTTCGAACGATGCGTGGTCTTTTTGGGCTGCTGACGAAGAGCCTTGATGCTTCACTTTGATGTCACGCAGGATGAATTTCGTCGTGGTGCTGAATGTCAGTGACCCTGCCCAGGGAGTCCGTGGAGAAACAACGTGAGCTATCGTATTAATAAAGTTCGGTATCTGATTGCGTTGAAGGACGATGAAGCTGACTTCGGGAACTGAGGCATGCTAATCGTCGAATTTTGTCTTACTTGGGACTGGTGCTATCTACGTAGCAGCAAGATGAAGCAGACACGCACCCGTCAAGAATCATATTGTTCTGTAGTCGTAAACCGCTTCTTTCCTGAACGCCCGGGCAATGAAGCACTTTCGTTGCCAATCATTCAGTGCAGTCCGCTCTCTCCTGTAGCAGCCATATCCTTCTGACACTCTACCATCATCTTGACCATGTTCGCAACCTCTTCCAACCTACCGAGGACAACCTTGTTGCCCTCGACAAATCCGTAGCAGTGGTAACGGATACCGGTTTTCTTACTGAACTCTCGGACTAGCTCCTGTCCTCTCCTGAGGTTGTGCCTCGGCACCCTGGGGAACAAGTGGTGCACGGCCTGGAACTGGAGACCGCCGTGAACCCAGTCCAACCACACAGGGCACTCGACATCCATTGTAGTGCGCATCTGACGCTGAGGGAAAGACTCGGTGGGTCCAAGATCGCTTGTTGGCATGCCCCAGTGTGACAGCGTGATCTGAACGTGCAGGATCATCGTGACGAGATGGCTGATAAGGACAAAACCGATGCGGATGGGCCAGGTGGGAAGTGTGCACCAGACGAGCAGGTAGCCGAAGATGAACCAGTAGCACGCCATGAAGACGAGTTCGACAGGGCGTGTCCACCACGCTGCGCCAAGCTGAGCTGCGCGAGGCGAGCACAGATGGCACCAAGAGAGTAGGTAGAGGTTGAATCGCGCAAGCGCCATGATGGGGTAGTAGGTGTACTTCTGGTATGGCAGGGCAACCTCGCAGGCAGCGTCCCACTTGAACTCGAAGTCCTTGTAGAATGTGGAAACAACACCCTTAATGTACGTGGGCGAGTTCGAGAAGATGGGTGTATTCTGAATATCTGGGTCGTGTTCTGGCATGTTGGTGATCAGGTGGTGTACGTTGTGGGACGACTTCCACCATCCGATCGAGAGGCCGCAGCAGAAGTCGGCGATGAAGGCGCCGATCAGGGTGTCGATGACGAAGTTGCCAGAGATGCCGCGGTGACCGGCGTCGTGCGCCGTGAACATGATCTGTTGCTGAAAGATGTTAGCAACCGCTTTAATAGGATGTGGAATAGGCTTACCCAGAACAGCCCCAAGAAGAGCGCAGATGTGAGATACCACTTGCTGTACAGCAGATATGCGAAAGCAGCGAAAAGGGCAGCATATCGGATGCTTTCCCAGCCGTATGCTGAGTAGTTGCACTTGTATAAGCCTTCCGCCTTGATCTGCTCGTGCAACTCGCGGTAGTCTAGCAGGATTTGGTGTTGAGTCTCGGTGTCCACCGAAGGATTCTCTCTCAGCCCATCCATGATCTCCTTCTCCTCGAGCTCAGTAGCATACTGCAGGCGGTGTGCTATCTTATCGAATGTGGATGGCGGAGGTGCTTCAGACCTTAGAAGTGGTTGCTTCTCTGGGTCTGGTGTACGGGACCTGCACGTGTTGGCGCATGCGTCGATAGGGCTCAGCTTCTTGCTCAGCGTAGCAGCGACCTTGAGTTGGCATTAGCATATGCCAGTGGAGTACCCTCGAACCATGTTCGCAAAGTATGCAAAGGAAAGGACACTAACAGAGCTCAGGTCAACACTTCGTCGTGACCGTTCATGTGCGGCTTTGACGGCTTTCTTCTCGTCTAGGTCCGAGTCGGAGTGCGGCTTGGCGGCGCGAATAGGGGGCTCGAGGTTCGTCCACGGTTCTTCTACACGACCAATGCGGTACTTCTTCATCATCAGGAGAGCCTTGTTGGAATGGTAGCTGTTACGCATTGGGTCAGTTTCAGGTTTCAAAGATGGACAGCGAGCTATCTCGCTCTTGTATCGCAGCGCATACATGTTGATTTCGTCGGTGGCATCGCGCCCGACCATGTGCAGGATTGCAAGCCGACCACCAGGGTGGTTATCGATCCATGTTGAGATGTCCAGGGCGTAACCCTCGTGGATGACAACCGGGTCGCCTTGCGCAACCAGTTGCTCGATAACTTGCGCGGAGATCATGTTCTGCCCCAACATGGCAGCGATTTGGGTAGTTGTGGTTGCGGGGAGGGATCAGAAGCAGACCCACGGGACCCAGGCGTATAAGTACTGCTAAGCCGTATTTCACTTGACCCCTTGGTCCTCTCAAGACTCAGGCCTGAGATTGCGCGTAGGCACGGGTCAAGGTGCCGAAACCAGGAAAGACGGAGCTGCTTGCGAGCGGCACGGGGCTGAGTCTTCGTGTCCCAAATGGAGCTGCCTCTGTGGAGTGCAAAAGAACGCCGTGGGATTAAAGCTTGGGCCAATCAACGCAATCCAGGGTCCAGGACCCCTGTTCGATTGCGGCTTAGTGGCGAGCAGGTACACACTTTGCTCAGATCTTTGGGAACACGTACTGGGTACGACGCCTCATTGACTCGCACTTGCACTGCGGGTTCCACCCACAATATGAACTCGGCTCTTCTCTTTATGAGATACGCACCGTACTCTGCTGGTGCCTAGCTGTCTGGTGTAACACCATGCGCGCCGTTTCCAGGGTTTTCGCCCGTCCCCCAAGTCCTTGGCGGATCAGGAAAAATCGGGGCACAACCTGGATTCCCAGTGGGCAAGACATCTCGCTTGTGGGAAAACCACTTGGAGGCGGATGGCGTGTCTTCGGCCGTTGTTTATCCGTTGCAGCGCGGGACAAATTGCCCCAACATTAGAAATTGTGTCTGTGGCGCTGTGCATAGTCCTGCATTGTATCTCTGCAAAGCCGCATATTTGCGACTGCATAGGCAAGCAAACAATTCTTGTGATGCCCGCTGTTCCTCTCGCCATGTCGAGAGCCGCTTATCATTGTCCGCCATGTCACGGTAAATGCTCCCGCTCCTAGCGCGGAGACCTGAGTCGTCCAATGATAATCGTTGTGTGTGACCGTGCCGTTTTCGACGCCCCTCACTCCGTGGTCCAGCCGCTTTGAACTCCTCAGAGACCAGGCGTGATGATGATGCGCGTTGCAAAAGCCCCCTCACCGTGCCCAGAAAAACCGCAGTAAAGGCTGCAATCCCGACAATCGTACGGTGCGATGATCGAGAAAAGGTAATAACGAAGGCGTGAGATCTGGGGCCTTCCAATTTCAATTGGCCGGTGGCTGGTAACACCCATCAGGCCTTCATGGGTCTCGGTGGGTCTTTTGCAGCGTGGAGATTTGCCTAAAGCGGCACAAGTTCTCCTGTCATTACTATCGCTTGTCGCCTTCGCCGTGATTGCATGACGGGCATGTGGAACGGCTCCCGTGGCATGCGGCGAGCAAGTCCAGTGGAAAGGCTCCTGGATCAGTCCAGTGGTGTCACTGGGGCCGTCGTCGCGATCGCAGCGATGGTCGATCGAGCCATGCCGGCACCAACCTCGGTGGGCAAACTGTCGTGAGGATTTCCTGGTCTGTTCGTGATACCTCAGGAGCCGTTTGAGATCGTCCTCGACGGTGGCCTGAATAAAGCCTAGTCTTCAACGTCGTCTTCCTGTAATCAACGACCACATTTTCCGCTTTCTCTTTACCTGCGTTTATTTTCGCTTTCCCTCTGCCTGAGTGTCGCGGCTTGTGTTGTAACTAGAGGCAGCCACGAAGGCGCGCATAGGCGCTCAGGCGATGTTGCATACTGATGTGAAATCATTACAGCACCGCACGACTTGCGCGACTGCCAAATAACGATAGCACAGGTCCCCAGTGCCAGTTTGGTTTCTGCTCGTATGGTCAGAGATGTTGCTAACTCTCATGGTTCGCATGCGTGTCGAGCCGCACAGCCTCAAAACGAGGAGAGGAGCTTGTTGTGCGCAAAGTGTCCCAGCTGTACAGTTTACGGTCGGGTATACGCGTGCGAAAGTTAAGTGAGCAAAGGAGGTCTGAAGAGTGCTGTTGGCGTTGACGTGGATTATTCATCATCCGGTGCATCCGAGTACCAAATCAGCGATTCGCTCTCGCTGACACCACGGATCGCGGAAGGTGTGAGCCCGAAGTTCCTAGAGCAATAAGATTTCAGCGGCTGGTGATCGACAACTGCGACTAACTGATGGAAGGAAAGTTCCCGCTGTCAAAGGTGTACGCGGACGTCGTTTCAACTCCGTGCACGCATGGGCGCGCAAGCCTCAACTGGAAGACTTGCATCACTGACAGGTTATGGCTGCACCTGCATTTTTGAAGCCATTCTGCAGAGCTTAATTGACCGCAGTTTACAGACCTATAGTTGTGTCTTTGTCTAATGTGACAGCCTCCTTCAAAATTTACTGTGCAAATCTGCTTGTGCAATTCTTCTAGGTCGTGGACTCGTGGTCCAGCACCAACACATCTGCAAAGTATCACGTATCTGCATTTTTATACTAGAGCTGAGCGATCGATCGAATCTTTTAGACACACTGATCGTTGGGGGCGCATGTTCTGAGGGTAGGCGAGGATGACTGGTTTCTGGAGTCGCTAATCTGCATGAGACAGGTACCGACACTGACTCCATGGTACGCCAAAGCGAGTCACGTAGTTTGACGACTGACAAGAGACGTTGCGCTCGACCGAGATGATCCTGGAATACTATTACTGCGAGACACTGTCGCGATATCCTTCTGTGGTGCTTTTTTTGCCGACCAGTTAGTAAGGTGAGTTGATCAACGCTTTTCTCCACATTTACATCACGAGTGGCAAGAAAGTATGATCAGAACAAATTTGCTCATCCTGAATATCTACAGTACTATCATATATTACGCCAAACGCTCCTCAGCCCCAAACAATCCGTGTCAGCAAACATGGGCCTGCACTCCCAGTCGACCTGACTTCATGCTGTGCTGGCATCCAGAACGCTGAACGCCCATCAATCACTCGCCATTTTAGGCTCATACAAAAGCGCCCTTGCAATGCATATCGAAGGTCATGAATATGTAAGGAAGCGCTAAGGAGTCGATACAGTCTGAAATGGATGCGCTGTTCATGCGAAACCGAAGTACTCACCACCGGCGGTCATGGCTGTGTACAAAGCCTTGCGAAGATCTTCATAGGACTCGTATTCGGGAAGATCGAGCTCTGCGGAAGTGTTAGCGGTATTTCAATGTCATAGTAAAGAGATGCGAACTTACGATTGAAGCAAGTGTGGCTGGATGGCAAGCGGTCCTTGCTACCGTAGTCGCGATGAATGTTGAACTTTGAGAACCCATTCATGCCCTCAAGTTCCTTGAAGCCGTTCAATGGCACCTTGCTGGTTCCGGTGACAAATTGAAGCAGCTTAGCCTGCTCTTCCTTCTCGAAGGTGCGCACAGCACGCCAGAACCACTGGATCTGTGGCGAAGCAGCGGTATAGTTGTGGTATTCGGTATTATTCTTCCAGTCATCCACGTTGATGTCGGGAAGACCGGAGATGAGAAGCTCTAGTTCCTGCTCGCTGAAGATAGACACGAGCTCGGCGGGGACGATATCGTGGAAGCCACGAAGAAATTCCTTAAGCTGTTCCTCAACAGCGCCTGTGAGACGGTACTCTGTGATAAGCCGGATGTACTCATGCTTGTTGTCCTCGGTGACCGGGATATTACGACCGTTCTCGATCAGATCAACGGTCTGCATTTCGCCGAACGCCTCGACTTCAGTCGAGAAAGTTTCGGTGATAATATCCGTGATGTCGTTCTGCAGCATCCATTCGAGCGACTTATAGTACTCAAGGTCGAGAGTCTCCATGTCCTTGAGGTTGACCTGCTTGCTCATGATCTGCTTGTAGACCGCACGACTGAAATGGCAGTCAAGAACACGGCCCTCGTAGAGCGCCTTCCCGATGATGCGCCCAATGAATTTGAAAAACATAAGATGCTCCGGGTTGATGGAACTAAGCCTATTCGGGTGGAAGGTTGTGCGATCGGAAGCGACAGGCACGAATAGAGCGTAGTCAGCGTTGAACATCTGGCGGGCGATGACTTGGAACCACTCGCGGGTCACGCCACCGGCGTCGACACCTTCTTCACCATGGAAGCGGATGCTGAGCTTGCCATACTTCATCTCTTCAGCAGACTTGAAGTATAGAGACTTGAAAGAATCCAGGAAGACTTGATCTCGGCGCACAGACAGCTGCAATGGCGGGTGAGGTTGACGGTCGCCACCACGAGAGTGAAGCTTCCGGTTGAAGTAATTGCGCTTGTTGTCGAATTCCAGCACCTTCGAGTTTTTAACTAGCAGAGAGAAGGTACCACTCATTAGCTTCGGGTTTTGGCGGACAAGATCGTTCAAGATCTTGCGGTGTTCTTCTGTGAAATTGAAGAAGAGGTTCTCCATCTTGCTCTCTGGCGGTGGGCTGGAGAGTGCAAACTCCTTCGGGAGTATCTTTGATAACGGAAGCTCCTTTAGACTGGTGTTCTTACAGACAACCATCAGCGACTCGATAAGAGGCAGCAGTGTGGTCGCAATGTTGAGCATGTTCCCGCGTTCGCGGATGACCGCCAGACAATTACTGAGCTTACTCCAGAGCGGCGCAAAGGCAGCATCTTCATAGAGTGTCAACAATATATCCTCCTTCTGCTTCGGCTCAAGAGCCTCAGCATTGGCTTCAGGCTTGTCCTTGTTGTCGCGCGATGGGTCAAAGAGGTAGTCGAGCGCAGTCAAGGCCCTCAACAATTTTGTCTGGTCTGAAGTCGCAGGCGAGAACTTGGCCAGGGCAATACCCTGCACATCTGTGTGTGATTCTGCCTTAGAGACCTGGGCTGTCAAGCTGGCAAGGTCATCGAGAATGTTCTTGGCGAGATCTTTTGCGATGCCGAGCAGCTCCTGTCCGAAAACCTCTTTTGCGCCTGGGATAGGCGAAAGGTTACTAATGACAGATAACGTCTCTTGGAAGACCTTGCTGTTGCACTCACGAGCTGCAAGGATCTTAGCGACCAGGCGCAGGTTGTTCTCAGGAATGTCGGGCGGCATGATCGTCCTGTGCCTTTTAGTCTTCTCTTCGTCGGGCTTGGCCCCTTCTGGCTTAGAAGAGCTGCCTTCGCCCTCTGTGGTCGGAGCGGTAGTCGCAGGCTCGTCGCCGACTGCTGCCATCTCCGTGTCCTGCCCAGCCGCTCGCCCCGCTGGTGTTTGCTCAGTTTCGGTGACTGGAGCTTCGGTGATGGGGGCTGCTGCGGCAGCCTCGGTAGCCTTCTTAGCCTCATCTGCAGCCTTCTCCTTGTCTTTCTTGATTTGCTGCAAAGGATGGGTGATGATACGAAGCAGACCTGTCAGCTGCTCCATGATTGAAGAGCTCTCCACAATGAGCTTTCGATCGAGAAGGGTCAAGAGTGCATTGACAGGGTATCGTGTTGACTTGGCATCCTTGCCCTTGCCCTTGCGGTTCCCGCGATTCTTAAAACCTACGCCTGTCTCGTGCTCGGTCAAGAAGAATTGCCATACAGCTGGATTCTTCTCTGTCAGCTGTGCGAGCGTATTGAGACATTGCTGTACAACCATGAGTGGGGAGACATCCGAGTTGATAGATAGTGCACCGTTCTTGCGCGAGATCTTTGGTGTCTTGTCTGCAGGCTGCTGCGGCTGCTTTGCGCGGAGTGAGAGCTGTGCGAAGCTACGTTCAACGGCGTTAACGTCGGCACTGCCATCCTGAAGGATGGACAGGAGAATGCTGATGACCTCAGCGCGGTTTTGTCGGTTCTCGCAGACATAGCGTAAGATGGAACTGAGACTAGACTTTGCACTACCCTGCTGAGGGATGAACATTAGCCTCAGCAGAGTTGCAACACCTGCCTTGTCCAGAATTTGAACGCAAGGGCGCGCTTTCTTTTTCTGCGAAGGGTCTTCGGGGTGGCCTCGTCGCCCACCACGCTGGTAACCCAACTCGAATTGATTCAGGCGACGATCGCCACCGTATGCTCGAGCTTCTGCCGAGATCTCCGGAGGTAGCTGTCGCAGAGTGTCCTCGTCTGTATCCATGAGGACTGCTGCTCGCAACGCAGGGTCCAGTGTTGCGAAGAAGCTGGCAGCATCTATCTCCTCAGCTTGAGGCGCAGGAGCACCGACGTTTGCTGCGTTACGACGGCGGTTTTCCTCTCGTTCGCGGCGTCGGCGGTCGGCTGCTTCTTGTTGGAGGAGCTCAGCACGCATCTCTGGCGGAAGAGCAGCTAGAAATTCCTCGTCGAGCTCAGTGGGTTCCTCAGTCTGAGCAGTATTGCCAGCTGAACCAGATGCCTGCTGTTCTTGAGCCTGCTGTTCTTGGCGCGCTCGTTGCGCTTGCTGCTGACGTTGCTCTTGTCTTCGCTCAGCAACTTGTTGCAGCAGCACTTCTTCCCGAAGCTCCTCTGGCAGTGCATCGAGATATTCGAGGTCAATGCCCAGCTCGGTGATATCATATTCACGGCCCCTCAGTATCGTGGTGATGCGCTGTACTGGCTCAGCAGGGGCTTCGGGTTCTGCCAGGCCGGCTTCGACACCCGCCATAGAAGTGCCTTCAGCTGCCTCGGCAGGCTTCTCGGTAGCTTCTTGCGATACAGCAGTCTCTGCTGCGCGACTGGCAGCCTCAGCAGCCTCAGCAGCCTCGCGTTCTTGTCGCGCCTTCTCTTCCTTTTCCCTCGCCTCGCGCTCCTCACGCTCCTTCTGATCTCTGCGCTCCTGCTCTTCCTTGGCCTTGCGAGCAGCCTCTGCCTTTCGTTCTTCTTCACGTTTCTTTGCTGCCTCTAGGGCGGGAGGCACTAGAACCTTGAGAATAGAGTTGATAACTAGCTGACTCTTCTCGTACGCATGTGGGCCGTAAAGGATTCTAGCTTCCTCTTGCCAGCGTTGGCTTGTGTAAGCCTTCGCAAATGCGACTGCTGAGTGTGGGTCTTCACGGGCCGAGCGAGACATGCCGTTTGGTCTTGGAGGGACCATGTTGCGGTGGAAGCCAACATCGAACGGCGGTGGAATTCCAATGGGGAGATTATTGAAGGAGAGATGGATAGCCCCACCGTGTTGTTGCAGCTGCGGTGCGTTGCCCTGGCTCATGGCGTTCAGCAGATTGCTAATGAAGGACACAGGGCTGTCTGCATTGGCTGCACGAGGGCCACGCCCCTCTATTGCGTGCACCCAGTCGCTCTCGCCTCGACCGGCAGAACCATCACGTCCTTGGGATCGACTGCCACGCTGTAGCAGAGGGTTGATGCCATCGTCTGTTGCGCGAGGACCAGCACCCGGGCGGTGTGATCGATATGCTGGAACAAGAATGCGATCGCCCGGTCCAGCAGGGAACATCCAGGGACTCAGTCGGTGAGTGTGGCGAGAGGTAGATGCGGCTGGCTCATCCCAACCACCGCCTCCCCAGCCTAGCTCTGGCAGGGCTTCTTCGTCATCTTCCATACCAGGATCATAGTGGATGTCGTCTTCATCGTACTCTTCTTCCTCGTCTTCTTCGCCTGCTAAAGTCAGTGCAAATTCTTGAGGGACAGAATCGTTATCATACCGTCATCGCCCATCCCATCACCCAGAAATTCCTCAATGTCACCCCCTTGATGTATTTGTCCAAGGAGCTGAGGTTGGTCGAGAATGAAGCCACTCAAAGGGTTGGTGGGCATGTTGTCTCGGTTCAAGGCAGTAGGGAAATCGTCGCCTTCGTCGCTCCAGTCATCTTGATCATCAGCGAGACTACCGCCTTCATCGTCGCCAGTGACTTCTTCCAACTCCTCGACCAGCTCGTCCATCGCATCCATCGCAGCCTCAGCGCTCATCTCTTCCTCATCGTCATCGTCGTCATCCATGTCCTCGTCATCATCATCATCATCATCTTCGTCATCTTCTTCGGAGTCGTCATCAGTGCCGGACTCCATGACCGGACCATCGTCGAGCTCGACCTCAACATCGACATCACCAGGAAGGCCTTCAATAGGGCCCATGTCGTCAATATCCATGTCCAGCATCTCGTCTTCGTCTTCAGAAACGACATCGTCATCTCCAAGCTCTCCGCCTTCGTCGTATTCCATGTCATCTGCATACGGATCGTCATACATCATCTCCTCGTCATCCTCATCTTCGTCATCATCGGATTCGTAGTCATCGTGAGGTTCGAACAATCCGAGGGTGGAGTTGCGGAAGAGATCAGGCGTTTCCTCGCGGTCGTTCTCAACAAGATCATCGTCAGATGCTGTCGAGATCTCGGACTCATCAGCAGAATCTGGAGCTGAAGATTCGTCATAGTGCGTGCTGAGATCCATCGCGACGTAGCAGAGCCACTTCAGAGGCTTCAGAATGTACTTGACAACTCGTTTGGCGTTCGGGAAGTTGAGATCGATATCCGAGATTGCTGTTGTCAAGATGGTAATGAAGTTCTTCTCGTACATGATCTTCGCCATCTGCTTGAGGTTCGGTGTAAGGTCCGCGTTTGAGGTAAGCATCTCACCGTTGGCGCGCTGCGACACCATCCTTGAGAAGATGTCAGCGATACCCAACAATCGTGAATACTTCAAATCGAGTGCCTCATCAGAAGTGCTGGCGTCCTTGAAAGCCTTCAGTGCATGCTCTAGAACGAACTTGCGTACGAACAACAGATCTTGTTCAATCTCGGCGTAGGGCGACATCTGGCTCGCCTCAGCCTTGGGTAGGGCATTCTCTCCCGTCTTGTTACAAAGAGAGACAATGAGATCGATCGCGCAGTTTGAGGTGGCAAGCTTCTTCTTGAAGGCGAGATCGCCCTCGTGGTTCAGTGTACCGATGGGTACCAGTACGTTGAGCAGATAGTTGAGCACACCAGAACGAGGCTTCGAGGGCGTCATGACGTACGGATCGGCCTTGCGCGAGAAGTTAATGAAGTCAATCTTCGTGCGGTTGTAGCTTTGCAGGAGCTCCGCCAGGCACCTGAGGATGAAGCAGCGGTAGATGTAAATTGGGTGCGCATCAGCCTTGAATATGGGCTTTTCGGGCTTGCTTGGATCTGAGGTCGCAGTCGAAGGTGTCGAGACTCCGTCCGAGGTGGGCTGGGCATCCGTGGACTCGGCGTTTTCCGAGACCTCTGCGGTGGATTCAGTAGGCTTTGGAGGTTCTGCCTTGTCTTCAATCTCCTTGTACGCAAGCAACTCGCATAGCAGGTAGTGAATAACGCCGTCAGGGTTCTCGACGACTGGTAGCCTGAAATCTGTCGTCTTGGTCCGTTCCAAGACTGGCTTCTGGGGTGGAAGCTCGCTCGATTCCTTAGGCTTGTCGGCCTCAGAGGTGGTGTCTGAAGGCCTTGCTTCGGTACTGGAGTCGGCGGGAGGCTCCTCACGCTTCAGCATCAAAGTCTGTGGCTTTTGATTAGGGTCGAAACGCGTCAGTTGCAGCTTCTCATTGGTGATTTCGACAAAAATGTCCGGAGCTCGGATGGCCAGGTTGTACATCTGACGAGTGTAGCCAGTCGTGTCGGTTTGCCTCCGATCGCGCGATTCAAACATCTGTTGGATCTCTGTGCGCATGAGCTGCCTAATCATGTTGTTGTCTTCAATCATGTGGCGAAGCACGATCATGAACGCGCTTCGTAAACCTTCATTGGTAACACCAGCAAGCTGCTTGATCATCAGGAAGATACGCTGGATGTTGCGCTTCTCGGTCAAACGTGAGGCGAGCTGGCGTGTACGTGTGAGCATGACCAGCACGCGGGTGACTGACAGAGCCAAGGACTCGTCCTTGCCAATACGTGGAAGGATGTCCATGATTGCCTGGAACAGGAGGTTCTTTTCACCGCTGCTTACAATGGGCTCGGGGATATCATCAACGGAAGCCTCCTGTTGCGAATCGCTGGTTGGTGGTGTCCACTGAACTTCGCGAGGAAGCTGGTCCTCGGCCAAGAGCCGCTCGATGATGAGAAGCACCTGTCCTATCCATGGTGAAGACTCCTCGGGCGTCTGGTCTGGGAAGATCTTGATGAAGCCAAGCAATGTGGCGAAGTTATCCTTCAACTCTTCCACGATGACTTCGTAGAAGCCCTTCTCTTGCAAAACCAGGGCAAGCAGATGTGCAGAGGCAGCAATCTTCTTGCCTTGTGAGCGGAAGTCTTCGCTCTGATACGAAATCAGAGACTGGACCAGCGTTGCACCGATCTCTGAGCGCATCGCCGGTAGTTCGGATGCCTTTGCGACAGCTGCAGTGATAAGTTCTGCCAGCTCGAATGTGACGCCATCATGAGAGTTGAGGATGTCCAGCGATCGATCGACCAGATTTTTGCGGAGAGTCATGCGCTCCTTCTCCAGATCATCCAAAGCAATAGCTTCGGCCTTATTACCAACAGCCATCCGCCGCTGATATGCTAGGGCATCATGAGAAGCGACAAACGTCTGTACTGGCTGGCCTTCGGGCACTGGTGTGCTAGCCAAAGCGTCCGGCATCTCCTGGGAGGCATCTGCAATAACGTCTTCCATCTGGATTGATCGAGAATCTGGTGCATCTGAGGTGTTTCCATCATTCGTGTCATCGCCGGTAGAGTTACTAGCAGTATCGGTATGCTCGGGAACTACGACCTCGGCTCGGCTGGGTGACGCAGATGGTGGACCGCGGGCCTCGATCTCGTACTGCGGGATCGGATTCCTTGACAACTGCCCACGAGTCTGGTTCTGGCAGTAGTCGTGTGCCAAGTTGTAGTTATCACAGCAGCGGTACAGGGCCTCTTCAGCCAAGCTCTCCTCGAATTCGGCCTCCTTCAAACGGGCCATGTGCTCACCATTACGAGGAGACCATGGCTTGATGATAGGCTTGCTGCGCTTGGGGATCTTGTCCACAGTCTTAGACGCTCCGTGTTCTCCCTCGCACTCGAGGATAGACCGCAGGATGTTGATCGAGGTCTTGACTATCGAGGTGGTTGCTTTGTCGATCAAGTCAGAGTTCCAGGTCTTTGCCACAGGCTTGATGGCAGCATGGCGGAGCTCGACTAAGAATTGTGCTGTGGAGAAGTAATCTGCCCTAGTAGTGTCACGATCGGGTCGACCTTGCATTGCCGACGTCTGTGGCGATTCACTGATGATCTTGTTGTTGGTGATCTGCGAGTAAAAAGCGAGCATGATCTTGATGCCGCCTAAAGACAAATGCAGCAGTCGCTTGCTTTCTTCACTCGCAGCGTCGCCCTCCCTACGAGAAGCCTCCGAGGCTGTCTCGAAAAACTGATTCAGAACATTTGCAAGAACCTCAAACCCTCCAAGATTCCTGAAGGAGACGAGGAGCAAAGTCAGTGTTTGGGTCCTATCCATGTGCGGGTCGATCATGAGCTGCGACAGGGAGGTTAAGGTGACGATCCAGTACGCATAACGATCTTCCACAGATTCAGACTCCTTCGCCGCCTCAAATTGAAGCTGGTCAATGACTGCTTGCGCGAGCTGATCCGAGACTATCGTGGCGCATTGTCTCTGGTAGGTCTCCAGAGTCCGTCTAGAGAGCAAGAGCCTACCAAGAGACTGGAAGAAGGAAGCAATTTCCAGCGGTATCCGACTAAGAAGCGAACGAAGAGTCTGTGTGTTCCTGAACTGCGCACTGTTCTGGCTTGGCACGGGAGTTGCAGATGCCACATCTTGAGATAGTGTTGCGTCCTCGCTTGTGGCTCCCTCCGTAGGGTCCGGAGCGCGGCTGCTAATTCCCATACCAAAGACGTGATCAGCTTCAGCTACTCCAAATCCAGGGCTGACAATACGTGTCTCTCTCTCCCACGCTGTCGGCATGTTCTTTTGAAGGAGAAGCTCCTCCCAAACGCAGCTACCATGCAGCCTGCCAAGACTGTCGACGAGGCGCGCATACATGTCAGCAAGGTTAACTTGGGCTGATATATTATGCTGCTGGCGAGGGCTGAACATCTGGCTCTGGAAGGTGAGGGTCATGGCCGAAACAAGTGTGTGTGCGCAGACAAGCGACTTCACGTACTTTGTTCCGTTCTTCACTACTTCGCTGTCTTGAGAAGTATTGGTGGTGAAGGGCGCAAAGAACGCTGTGCCACCGGAATGGTTTAAGAGAGGCTCGAGCTGCTCTAAGGCACGCTGGGTCCGCTTGATCAACGATGGTACTGTGATGTGCGGCTTCTGTTCGACAAGGACCTGGACAACACGACCGAACTCCTCGCTCATACTACGCGACTCCTTGGCCTTGGGATCAAGGCAGGCGAGACTGGAAATACTGAGGATCGACTCGACACCGTCTGCCTCGATGAAGGCAGCGCACATTGCATGGTTGGAGAAGAAGCCGCTCAAGAAACGACACAGGACGCGAATGTACTGACTGGTTGTTGGACCTTGAGCGCTGTCCTCTGTATCGATGACCTGGTCGATGGACACAGGTTCTGCAGACGAATGAGCGGGCGTCTGCTTGTCAGCGTCTTGCATCTCGATATCTGCGGTAACAGAGCTGGGCTGCTGCGCTTGCCCGCTCACGGATTGTGAGCCTACGAGGGCTTGGCGACCACCAGCTACGAAGAGCTTGCCATAAGCCCCTTCTGTCCAAAGCTTCGCGCCAGCGCCTTCCTTTTCAGCTTTGGCAGCGCAGAGTTGTACGACGCGAGCGATCAGCTCACTCAGACAAGAGAGCACGCGTGCTTTTAGTGGCGGATGATGGCGCACCAATTCATCGAAGGTATTACCAATCATAGTAGGCATCTCTGTGTCGGCGTCAAGAGCCTTGACGTGAGCTGGACTTTCGAAGATTTCGAAGAACCGAGGAAGAGCTTTCGAAGACTGGAACAGCTTCATACCAGCTTCAGCCAAGCATATCGCTCCGAAAGCAGGAGGCAGTGTCGAGATAGCTTCAGCAACCGGAAGGATACCCGTAGCCAGAGGCAGCCCTGGCACTCGCGGAGCATATCCTTGCTGCGGCCGAGGGTTTGCAGCATCCGTGAGGCTTGCAATAGCGGCTGCCGTTTCTTCTGAAGCTGGCTCACCAGCCACCGTCTCTAAGAAGGCATCACTCAGGCCAGCTTCAGCGATGACCTGGTAGCTGGTCGGTTCGTTGTGAATGAAGCTGGTAAGAACATTGACAGCCATGCTCCACACAGTCGAACCGAAGATGCTTGCATTCGATAATACAACGCGGAGAGCAGTCAAAAGTTGCGAAGAGTCAATGAGTTGCCGCATGAGACGATCGAAATTGCCACCTGTGTGGGACATCATGTGGTTCAGGAACTTGAAGAGCCATCTGAGTGTCTGTTGGTGGTAGAAAGGAACCTGGTAGTCGGTGAGTTGAGTCTTGTACTCCCTAGGCATACCCCTGTCCTCTTCTGCGAGCTTCTTCGATGTATCGACTTCATACTGCATGAGGTCGGCGATGATCTCCAAGCCCCTGGCGCTCACAAGGGCTGCAAATGCATGCTGCAAATTGTACACAAACGTATCAAGGAAGTTGAGAATCTTGGGGTGATTGCGCTCTGCCTTGTCCGTTCGAAACTTGAGAACTTCGACAAGAATCTCCAGAAGCCCAGCGGACACCATGCTCTCTCCTGTGCGTGACTGCGATTGTGGGATGGTATTGAGTAGGGAGAACACAGCGTCGCGCCATTCGTCTTCTTCAAGGTCGATCAGTGCGCCATCTTCGGTATTGAGCCCAGTAACGAGCTTCCGGACAATGTAGAACAGCACACCGTGGTTCACATTGACACTGAGCGCAGTGCAGACATCGGCAGATTTGGTCTTGTGCTTTGCCAATGCCTCAAGCGCGTTGAAAGTGAAGGTCTGAAGTTCAGTCGAAATTCCTGTCTTGCCTTCGCCGGGGGGTTGGACAAGTTCAGCAAGCTGGAAGGCTAATTGCAATTGCCGTGGCTCGTCCGCGTCTTGTTGACCCAGTCGGTTATGGAACTCCTTTTCGCTGTGAACGAAACCCATGTTGGCAATTGCAAGCAAACGGACAGCCACTGCGTCGTCTCGTCCAGCAGACCCACTGCTTAGCATCTTCGCCGCCCGCAGCTTGTGCAGTAGCTCATAATGCGCACTTTCAGGCAGCTCTACAAGCCCCTGCTTGAGCAAATCATGGATGTGGTTATTCGCAACCTTGTCCGCTGACAGCTCGAAAGTTTTCGGTCCGTTCGGTCGGCCGCTCGTCTCTCCCGGAGTGAGGGATGACGTACTCGGCGATTCCGCGGTCGGTGCAGTTGGTGTTCGCGGGGTCTGGTTGCGCATGTTCGACGTTCGACGTACTGGTGTTGGTGTACTAGGTGCATCTGTACGCGGTGCTGCCGGCTGGTTGTTGTTGCTACCCTCTTCAGATGCCACGCTCGGCTCATAATATGAGATATGCAATCCTCCAAACTCCTGCTTCAACATAGATTCTGGTAGCTTGTACAGCCCACTCAAATCAGCTGGATTGAACCTGTCCGTATCATTGCGTCGATCGCCCGGAGTTTTGTCCTTTCCTTTACCCGCCGGTGTGCCAAAGATCGGTGCAGCTGCTGTATGACTCTTCGAAAAAGGTGCAGATAGCTTTTGGATCTTGTCTAGGCCGATGTTGTAGTGGCTAGAGAGCAACGAAGGGTGCAATGTGGCCGGGGCCAAACGCAAGCGCGCGGCTTGGTAGCGCTGCGACAATCGGTGACCGAGACGCAGGGTGGCCTTCAACAAGGATGTGGAGGTGGTGTTGAGGAGCTTGTCCAGACGTTCGCTGCTCGAGTACAGGCTGCGATTGCCACAGTTCTCCAGAAGCATCCGTGTGAAGCTCAAGAGCAGTTCGATCAGCTCACGGTCGCCATCCTGAGGTACGTGCAGGGTATCCAGAACGGCATCAGTGGTACTCGACTCAGCGCTTGTATTTGCCTCCTCTGCGTCGCCCTTCAACAGCAATCGCCGCTGGAAAGGTTGTGTCTGCGGCCCGTCCGCCATTCCATACTCCTGGTTGAAGAGTTCCAGTACGCGATCAAAGCGGTTCAGTACGGGTATCCAATGGTAAGCATCTCCTCGAGGAAATGGCCACTGCTTGGGAAAAGAAGCTAGATGGGCGGGCAGCTGGTAGAGCGGTATCGACTCTGTTGCTCGTACAAAGTCTGCTATCATCGGCGACTATGGAAATGTCAGCATAGCTTCATTGAAATGGAAGTATGTTGCCTACCAGAGTGGACTCATGCCGCAATGTAGCCTGCTTCTTGATCTTCATATTTGCGCCGAGCGCTCGGAGAGCAAACTAGCCAAACATGCAATCTCTCCAATGTCGCCTCTGGCGCAATTCTGAGCGGTATGTGGGAGGCGAAAGTCCCGGGTGTCGCTAGGCAAGGCTCTTTTGCGATGCAGGCTGCCACCTGTTTCTCCAGCTAATAAACTTGTGGTTTGTGTATAAGTGCGCAGGGACTGTCGTGGTGACGTCGATAGAAAGCGGTCGAACGGGGTTGCAGGTAAACACGTCCTCGTGGGCGGGGAAGGTGATGCGCAGGGCAGGTGCGGAACAGAGGCGTATCAGGAAAGCGCAGCCACAGCTCACGGTGCAGGCGTGAGTGTTTCTGAGCTGGTGCAGGGTCTTTGGCAGATGACTAATACCAGAGACGATGAGGTTGGACCTTGTTCGTCAGTCGTGTGGGGTCGTGGTGCTGTCAGTCTTGTTGTCGATAGCGGAAGCTTCAAGGTGATGCACGCGCCGCTCGGGCCGCTTACCTAGGTCCATAGATCACGACCACGCGTTCACTACTAAAAGCTTCAGCTTCTTCAATCTCGAAGTTTCGATTCACGTGTGACGTCATATTTGATACTTCTATTAGGCGACCGTCGTAGGTTGTAGAATGCTCGTGGGCTGGTACCTCAGGGCTGCATGCAGGTACCGATACACGCTGGATTGGTACACGCTGAGCCCTTACGCTAAGGGGTTACCACGAAAGCTTCATTGAACTGGATTCCAAGTACAGCAGCTTTCCTAATCTCATCGAGGTTGACCATAGCCTCGCTGCTCCCCCGTCTCCCTACCCGACCTTCCCTCATCCACCAGCCTAACCGTCTCCTCCAACACTAGCAGATCCCTCTCTAGCATCTCTGCCCAATTCTGCACATCACCAAGCTCGTTTAACTTCTTTGTACTCGTGTCACCGAGTTTCTGCCACTTATCACTCTCTTTCCTTAATGCTGCAGTCTGCCTGGCAAGCTCTTTCTCCTGCTTTGCAATGGCGGCGGAGTTGGCGTGCAGATCTGCTGTGCGTGTGCGCAGGTCTGTGTCGATTGATGTTCCGATTGAGGAGAGCGATGCGAGCACCGCTGCGCGAGCTTCGCGCTGTTGTTGCACCGTTGCTGCGGTGGGTGATGAAGACATGATGGGCCGAGTTGGATTGAATTGGGCAGGTGTGAAGTTTACACTGGCAAGAATTTCAGACAGTTGATGAAGGTTAGGTGCTTGTTGTTGGAGCACCGTTATTCGTATGTTTAACACAGGCTCCTCGCGCTGTGTCAAGCCCAAGTCGAGTTGCATGCAGGAGGGTGTGACGAGAGCTTGTGTGACTGGCTAGAAGCAGCCGGTACTGCATGTCCGCTGATCTTTCTACATATACTTGTAAGAGTGGCACGTGAGAATTTTGAGCGCAACAGTCGAAGACCGAGCAAGCACATCGGTAGATACATGTAGCGAGTGAAACACCATTCGTGTTTATTCGACAAACGGACCAGGGCCATTCTTAGAGGGCCATATCAATCCTCCATCCTGGCAATGTATGCTATTCAGATTCTCCGACCAGCGCCAGGCTATCCGTGCCGCGAAAAGGACCAAGTCTATACACAGTGTGGAGAGTCCAATCGCCCTTCCACAAAAAGAGGCACAAGGCTGAAGTTTGCCAAGTTCATGATCGCAGTCGCAGATACTGTTGCAAGCTTACGCAAATTGCACTCAAGCCTTGGCGTACTGCTGTGTCCATTCCCTCGCTGTGGCAATAGCCTGCGCCTGGTTCTCCTTCCACGCCTGAGCTACGTCGTTCGCGAGCGGATCGTCTGGGTTCGGTGCGCCGAGCAGGGCTTGGATTGAGAGGAGGATGGTCCTGATCTGCAGGGCAGGCGACCAGTTACCTAGAAGGGTCAGACAAAGTAATGCGCGCGTGTACAGAGTCCACTCACTCTTGAGAACGTCGAGGCAAATGCGGCCCAGCCTGTCGATGTTGGGGTGGTAGATCTTGGTGAGAAAGCGAACCTTGGGAGGGGTCATGGGGTAGTCATCTGGCAGGAAAAGCTCAAGCTTGAAGACACCACCTAAACGTTATCAGTCGATGATACGTGATCCTTCTGTATGCGCCCGGACGTACCCTCGTACGGTGACTGAGAGGGGCCATCGATGGTCACGTCGAAGTATCGCAGGTTATCATCGTGAGGAGTCGCAGAAATACCCTGAACTCTATAGCAAGCACCGTGTCAGCAATCACCGCCAGAAGTAGAACCTTGGGCAGACTCACGGCTCGTTCATTAGACGCTCGGTCTCCTTGATGATGCGCTTGGGAAGAGCCATGGTATTGTGTAGATGTGTGGGGAGAGAGGGGGTAGAAAGGTAAGTAAGCTCAGGGAGAATTGAGGGGGTGATTGTGGTGCTACTGCGTGTCTTCTCGCGAGCTCTGTGGTGTTTGCGCTGGCGATCACACAGCACGATCGTGGATGTCTGGGTCTGAGCCACAGGGCGAGACAACGGCCATGACCTCAGCGGGGTGGGGCTTGTGGGCAAGTGCCGCTGCCCAAATACGTCAAAGTACCTGGCCAATAGGAGTCGAGCGCAACACGTGCTCCTTCCATCTGTGCCTCACGCATCACCGTGACACCCAACCCCCTTCGCAATGGCAGCTTCGGCTGGGCCTGCGACAGCCTACGAGAGCCAGACATTTGATCGAAGCGTATCGATCGCAGTTGATGACGATATCGGCGCAGCCTCCATCTCCCCAGCAGGCCGTGATATCTGCTTGGCCAGCCGGACAGGACTGCGTATTCTAGATCTCGACAACTTATATACACCTCCGCTGTTCATTGCCAATCAATCATCATGGGATGTTGCAGATGTCCAGTGGTCGCCATTCGCTGCGCGTGCAGAATGGATCGCATCGACTCGAAACCAGTTGGCGCTCGTTTACAATCTGTCCATGCCACACAACTCCAAGAAAGCTCCCATCGAGTACACGCTACGAGCCCATGACCGCGCAATCACCGATATCAACTTCTCCGCTCATCATCCGGATCTTTTGGCTACCTGCGGCATCGATAGCTTTGTCTTCGTTCATGACTTGCGCTCCCAACGAACACCACTCAAACTTGCAGACTTTACAGCAGGAGCAACCCAGGTAAAATGGAATCGTCAGAATGATAAGATCATTGCGAGCGCGCACGATAAGCATCTTCATATTTGGGATGTCCGCAAAGGCGCTACACCGCTCACCACCATCGTTGCCCACAGCACCAAGATCTATGGCATCGACTGGAACCGCTCTGATCCTTCTAAGATCCTGACATGCTCTCTAGACTCGACCATCAAGCTATGGAATCATGTCGGCAAGACTGCAACAACAAACACGCCTCGACGTATCATCCACACTAACTACCCAGTCTGGAGAGCTCGGCACACCCCATTTCCACATGGTATCATCGCTATGCCACAGCGTGGCAACTCTAGTCTATGGCTCTACAAGCACATCAATGATAGCAGCAGGGACGCATTCATTGATGAAGCCGCCCATGAGTTCCGTGGACACAAGCCTGATACCCAGGTTCGAGAATTCTTGTGGCGAGTTCGAGGAGGCACAAATGATTATATCGACGACAGAGAATTCCAACTGGTATCTTGGGGCACAGACCGGTACTTGCATCTTCATCGCGTGGGACCGGAACTTCTGGACAAATCTGTCGGATTTCGAAAAGGCGAATCGAGACTCGAGGAACCCAATCTTATGCGGAGAGGGGCCGCATATGTCACATACCGCGATGGTCCCATACCAACGCAGACGACCAATGCCAAGGGTGAGATAACATCACCACGCGTACCACCGAAGGGCAATTTGTCTACCCTCCTTCAGAACTACTCGCTCCACAACGATGTGTTCAGCTCGCGGCACGCTGGCAACATTCGAGCTCAAACCATAGTGGACAATCAGAAAGCGCGAGAAACCATGACTGCTATTCCAATACGTCGTAATAAGAGTCGTGTAGTTACTCAAATCAAATGGATGGATGGCGTCAAGTTCGGAGGCCAACATGACAAGACTGAGAACATACGAACTCCTTCAGAAGAGAGGGATCGTGAAGACAAGAGCTCCAACCAAGAACAAGCCGATCTAGGAGCCGAGATCTCGCAGGTTGGCAGCAAATACAAGAAGCTGGAGTTCGAGAACATCGATGTGCCAAACCGTCAGTTGACTGTCGCGTTCAACGGGCCGTGGGGCGAGTACGAGCAGGCTACTGATGAGGTCAAACTTGTCTTCTTGCGACTGACCATCAAGTTCCCGGCGAACTACCCGAAAGCCGTCGAGATTGAGACAGATGTTGGCCCTATCCGCACCACAACGCCTCTAGATATCGATTTCGAAAAGACTACAGCGTCCATACCGAGAGAGAACCAAGAAGAGCTGGTGGAACGCATGCATCAAATTGCAGAAACGTGTGCCAGCCAGGAGCGCGAGGCACTGGATGCTACCCTCTCTTATGCCCTTGGGGAGCGTGGATTCGAAGACAGTCTTCACCTTCCTGAAGATCACCGCTCATCAGACGAACTTGATGATTTGCGGGAAGAGGAGAGCTCCAGTGAAGATGATGAGAACGAGGGCGAGTTCACGAACGATGTCATGCAGTCGTCGCACACAAACGCCAATGTGCCACTGCCTGTCCAGTGTTCAGTCCGCTTCTCCGCTTCTGGGTCGCTTGTGGTGGCCAGGATACCTCTAATCAGGATGCCGCCACTTCTCACTGCTAGCCCGTTCCGCATCAACCGAAATATCCGACATGGACCGCCCAAGGACGATATTTTCGATTCATTCGGTCGATTCGCATCTCGTGACGCCGAGGAGTCAGATGGGGGCTCCTCACTGGAATCTTCGGAGGCATCGTGGGAGTCTTCGAGCTCACCATCATCCGCATCAGGATCAGAGCCTATAGTTGAAGCGCACCTAGGCACGTTCCAGCCACCGATAGCGTGGCAGAAAGCAGGAAGGTTTCAATCTCGCAATTCACTACCCTCCTCGAACGGCGCTGCAAAACCAGCAGCTAGAAACAGATTCATCGTTTCCATTCTCTCCGCAGCCGTCGATGATCTGGTGCCCAGCAAACGTGTCCTCGCAGAACAGTACCGCATCTTTGGGCCGGGACCAGAAGTGTGTGAGCACAATGCTGATGTGGCGAGGAAAAATGGCCTAGACGATCTGTCAGACATCTGGATGCTTTGTAAGCTGATTCTTAGCAACGAAGTACCTTTAGAGATACTTCCGCAACCGCATCGAAGAGAACAGATCGTTGTACTAGCTCGCCGAGCTCTTGTAAGGATCAAGCGCAAGGACAGCGGTCTTGACCTTCAATTCGACGATGCAGACACCGTCTTGAATCCTCGTCTCAAAGGACGTATCAAATGGGGCCATCATGCTGTTGTGACTTGGCTCATACCAGCTTTGTTTGATCACTTCGAGCGCCTTGCCGATACGCAGATGCTTGCAATGCTGTCCTGCATTTTCGCAGAGCCTGCTGCTCGCGAAGGTGTCACTTCAGCCATGGCGAAGATGAGACGCTCACATCTCCCAATGTCGATGACTGCCCCAGCATTCTCGCTGGACTACTTTGCATCCCAAGAGATAGCATGGAGCCTCTTTAATCCAACTATCTCCGTCCCATCTACGCCATCACATTCGCGCTTTGCGACACCAGAAAACTCATTTTCGTGGCAGAAACTTGACACTTATGGTAGCCACAGTAGCTCGAATGGCCAATGGGGCAGCGATACGATGGCTTCTGGGCCCGTTATACCCTACTCCACCGATAACACGCCACCTGTCGTATCTAGGTCTTCAATAATAAGGAACGCCCACACGACAACGCACACGCCGTACTCTACATCGCCAGAGCAAAGCCATCACAATCTCAAGCGTGCTTCGACAGCGAACTTTGCAAGCGCTATCGCTACTTTGTCCCGGCCGTTCGCGAACGCAATGTCGGCGTCACCACCTATCAGGTCTCGTATTGATGATCTGTCAACATCAGCGCCAACAAGCGGAGTCACATGGGGCACAACAACGTTCTATGGCAGTGACTCCCAAGATCGCAATACCCTTGCGCCAGCACGTATCGGACACCACAAACGTGCCAGTTTCGCGGAACCGGAACGCATTAATGCCGACGACCTCTACGATTCAGACGAGGAAGATGAGAAGCCCACCGAGAGCGGTACTGCTCCGTACGATGGCTCGTCTGAGCATCGGTCGTCTGTTACGAGGATCGTTGGCGATGGTGGCGAGTCAGGGAGACGAATCAGGGTCACGCTCAAGAACCAGGATCAGTTCGACGATGAATCCTGTCTAAGTAGGCCTTTACTGGATATGAGTAAGGACTGGCTGTATCGCGCATGGAGAGAGCAGTACGCCGAGATGCTGAGTGGCTGGCAATTAGTTCGGACGAGAGCAGAGGTCTTGAAATTCAATGGGTTGGTGTCCTACTTCCCGCCAGATGACTCACACAGTAGCTCGAAAGCGGGCTCACTGCATCTTGCACTGAAGAGAGGACATGCAGACGGGGATGAGGACAACAAATCGAGGCAGCGCTCACGGACATCGACAACCCTGATGCCACCTTCGCCTGCACCCGGGCCACGCTCGCCAGCAATACCTCAAAGGCAATTCTCCCTTAATCCCGAGGCAACAGCCTTTGAGCCAGGGCAGTCAGCATTCGACCAGCCCGAAGACATACCCGGCTCATTCGATGTCCTCATTGCCTCAGAGAAGTATCTACGAATCTCTATCCCGGGTCCTATCCCGAACAAAGAACTTGATGAGAGTGTAGCTGGCCTTGGCACATCGCTTGGGCAGGCAAGCCTACACCCTCGACAAGGCAGCAGACCTGGTAGACCAAATTTCTCACGTGGCACGTCCAACGTATCTGGATCCTCGATATTGATCGGCAACCGTGCGCCATCAATTGCGCCTACAAAAACCACGTCCAAGCCTGCTACAGCGGAGCCCGCCTACAGCTGCAGTATCTGCTGGATCAAGGTCTCGGGTCGCTTCCGCCTCTGCCCCTCGTGCGGCCACGTTGCTCACTTCGACTGTATCGATGACGAGCTAGGTATGGAGGAAGGCGAATGTGACGTTGGCTGCGGATGTGGCTGCGGCTTCGAAGTTGAAGACGAGCGAACTAGGATGGAGGCATACATCGACGAGGTCAGAGCCGCTACTGCTTCAGGTGTCACTTGGGAAGACGGCAATGCATGGATGAATATGCTGCCTCCGGACTCAGAACTTGCGACGCCCAGTGCCTTCTCAGATAACGGAATATTCGATGGTTTCACATGGGGAAGAGGAGTTTCGAAACTTACAAGCAACGGCAATAGCAAGGGAAAGGAGAACCCGAGCGGGAGAGGAACACCAAGTCCAACGCCTACCCCAGCAAAGAAAAAGAAAAGCAAGAAGAAACCCAGGGCTTCAGGACTAAGCTACTACTAGGACCGCGATCTCGCCAGATCTGCCTAACACAGCAACGATTGTACCTACATCGCAGCGTTTGAAGTGGGAGGGAGTTTCATGTTGTTGCGAATGATACCCGTGTACTACTAGCATGTACACAAGAGACACAGAAATAACGTTTTCTTCGAGTTGCTGGAAGCCCTCGTATGAGAACTAATTAGCAAGATCTCTTTGAAGTAAGATCGGGATCTGCAATATGGCAAGGCGCAGTTAATGTTCTGACGCTGTACTACCAAAATGTGACTGCCAGATGTAGAGCCTCCTGCAGCTGTCACACCTGACCCAGGACTCGACCTGGTCACAATTATACACAAGAACACCAGCATTGTCTCAAAGAAACACCAGATCTTACAAGTGCCCCTGTCATCCCACAGTTCTGGGTGACGCGGATGATGCGCTGCACCCCACGACCGAGCCCGTCGTTTGATTCGCTGTCCCAAGCCCGAGCTCCCCGCGTTAGCTTCCTCGAGTGCAAGTGGGAACCGGGACCCCAGGCTGCCTCAGCTCCACTTTAGATACGACCGCTGGTCGTTTATCTGCAGGCTCTCGACAGACTGAAACTTGATCTGACCAATCTCACCGCCATATGGTGGGCCGTGATCCTCCCTCGCGCGGACAGAGCAACCTCACCGCAAACCCTTCATATGGCGGAGATCATCACTGTCCCGACATCACTCGCTTCTCCGCACGCTAGTTCGGTATCGCAGCCTCGAGCCAAGAACAGCGCGTCCCAACAATCGAAGCACAAGGACGCGCCGAAGACATCAGAGAACAGTGGGATTGTCAAGAAGAAGCAGTCCAAGAGTCGCAATGGTACGTCGCTGTAGTATTGTGTCTCACTCCGCGCGTCAACATAAAGAACCTTGCGAGAACAGTCCTTTTCATGGCGTTACTGACTTCTCACGATAGGTTGTGTTACCTGCAAGGCAAAGCGTCTCAAATGCGACGAGGTAAAGCCCACTTGTCAGCAGTGTCTGAAACGAAATGTGGTCTGTGAAGGCTACAGGAGAGACTTCAAATGGCGGCCTTTTGAAGAACCTGGCTGCACAGGGAAGCAGCCCGCCAAGCCAAGGAAAGGTATGCATATCGAGGCACATTAACTTCGTCACTGACTTTTGTAGACTCAGGGGAATCTATTACGGTCCTTGCACAACCCAACAGCAACAACATGTTGAACGCTCATCAGCAATACCACAACTGCTCGGCTACTACGCATGATTGCCACCAGATTCTGCTGCCCCAACTGTTGATTGCCGATGTTCATAACCCGGCAAATGACGACCACCCTCCGCTGTTCCCACATATACTAGCCGAGAGACACTATACCGCATCGATGTTGTCTCCATATGTGATCACTCCACAATCAGTCTCACCGGTTGAATGTCGCACCCCAGCTTTCCCAGGATCTGAGAGTATATACGAAGATGGGTCGGTAAGAGCAGGACCGAGCGAGATGACTGCACCTTCAAGTCTGGCTGCTGGCCAATCACCTCGACTCATGGACCTCCTACTATCCGGGAACGACTACTGCGCACCTCCAGAAGAATACTTATCTTATCGGAACCAGCATGGGCCTTTCTATGAACCAACCGGTCTTACCCCTCCAGGAGAGGTTAATGATGAGGATATCGAAGAGATCCCTCGAGGGTTCAGCTACGACATTAGACCATGGTCTTTGCGACATTCCTCACCAACACCATCCAACTCTTCTGGTTCATCTACAGGGTCCCAGGATCACGGCATCCCTAATCAGCTCCAGGATCCAGTTTCTTCATCCGAGGCTATATCACGGCGCTTTCATCGAGACACCTGTGGGATCTTGTCTGTGAAAGACGGGCCTACTGAGAATCCATGGCGAACGCTCGTGTGGCCACTCACACGTGACTGTCCAGCTCTCTACCACGCCATTGCGTCCATGACATCGTTCCATCAGTCTACACAGTTTCCACCCATGCGGATACAAGGGATCAATCACATGCAGATTGCGATCCAGGCACTTGCAGAGGGGCTAGGTAACATGCGTTTTGATGCTGCCATATCGACAACTTTAGTACTAGCCTTCGCTGAGTCCTGGGATGTGCATATCAGCACAGGTATCAATCACATCAAGGGAGCCAAGGTCCTCATCAACCAAGCTCTAGTACAGCATCGACAGACACCCAAGCAAGGCGAAGAGTGGACGCGTCTTCAATTTCTCTGCAATGCTTGGATATACATGGACGTCATTGCTCGCCTTACGTCAGCGGATGATGATGACTCCAATGATGTGGACGCCATCTATGACAGCATCCACTCGACAGGGGGGACGAATAGCGTACTTGACCCTCTCATGGGCTGTGCACATTCACTCTTTCCCATCATCGGTCGAGTTGCATCTCTGATTCGAAAATTGCGAAAAACAACTGGAGACTGCCCCAACTTGACTATGCAGGCGATACACCTGAAGTCACAGCTGGAAGAGTGGACACCACCATCACATATTGAAACCCCTGAGGACGAAACAACAAGTCCAACTGACTCCGTCAAAACAGCCACCGCTTATCAATACGCAACATTGCTATACCTTCATCAGGCGTTCCCTCAGCTCCCTTCGCTGCCAGCACTGATTCTCGCTGAGAAGACTTTGTGCGAGCTTGCTTCAGTCGAACCCAGCTCTCGCTCATGCATCATCCATATATATCCTCTCATGGCCGCCGGTTGCGAGATGATCGATGAAGATGACCGGGCTTGGGTAATCCAGAGATGGAAGCTACTCCTATCTCGAATGAAGCTCGGCATCATCGAAAAATCCCTCACTGTTACTAAAGAAGTGTGGGCTCGGCGAGATGCCTTCGCAGCGAAGTGTAATATCTTTGAGGCAAGGCACAGTGACAACATGCCCACTGCACAAGCACGCAAGCGCAGCCTCGATGCGTATCTCGAAAGCAATGATGATGACTTCTGCTGGCTTGAATCAAGGCCCAAACGGAGGGCCACGGATTCAGACGCACATCAATCACATTCAATCTCCTACTTGTTCCCATTAGAACAGCGTAGAAGTAATGGGTCACAACATAGCAATGTGGAGCTACTTGAACCAGAGTTCACTGTTAAAGGCTATCTCCATTGGCTTGGTGTAATGCGGGATTGGAACTGGGAAGGTGAGGTTCCACAAACATACTGAAGATGCCGAATACTAACTACCATAGTACTACTAGGCTGAGAGCGCGTTTGCGTATGCGCCCAGAGAAAGGAGTCTCTGAACCCGGAACAACTCGTGGAAAGACGATTCGACTGTATTCAATCACACGGTCGACTCCAGCAACATCTTCACGATCGCGACAGCCACTTCAAATTACAGTACACATGGCACACTATGGATACCATCTGCATCAATCGCACTTCTTTCAGCGTTAATTTTGATGTTCGATCTCATGCTACTCAAAAGATTTGGTGAGTGCGTTCACAGCCACTACGCAAGTGTCACACAGGCGTTCGATCATGAACGTGCTTGTGGAACGTGCACTATTGGATTAATGTGGAAAGCTTACGATGGCAAAGCTCATCCATGCTTGTGACAGGCAAGTTGTCGACCGAGTATGGGAACAACGAGCGATTGTCAGGGCAAGATCTCAGGACCGCTCACTCACTTTGCTCGAGACGCCAAAGAAGTGCAGTCACAAGGTGGTCACGCTTGACCGTAAGCATTTGCCAGCCTAGTACCGTATGCCAACCATGGCATCGCGCTTGCACCGCCGGAAATAACACATGCCGGCGGCCATCATGCACATCATCACACCGTTGACCATGACTAGCGCAGTTAGCATGATATCAGCTAGTTAATCGAAAATAACTTTCAGGTCTTTTGACCACGCAGGTACCCGAAATGTAACGGCTATCGGCACCTGCCGTGCTATGCTCTGAAAACGGCCCCGTGATACTGATGGATTATTCATGCAGCATGCCTCGAGTCCTGCAAGGTCCCCACGATTATCAGACCATGCTGACAAAATCCAGTCCGCCCAGATCTGCGTGGTCTGGCACAAGAGTGGCTTTATCGGAGTCGAGTGATCATGTTCCTCAATGACAACCAATATGGGCCTGAAGGAAATTTCACTGTTGTAAGATCGCATCTGTTGGGGGTGAAGCATTCTGAACATATGTTTTACAAACTCAAGACGCTACTGCGCATGATTCTCTTCATGCTCCCAATCCGTGATCTTGCCAACGCGTACTGTGGGTACTGCTCCCAGCGCCAAGGCTGACTGCCTCTTTGGAGACTTGGTGCCTAGGGCGAGCAGACCTGTACGTCCCTTCATTGTGTACCGTCACAGCCGCGAGTAGCTTTTTGCACGACACCCAAGCCACCCTACGCGTCAATTATTGTACTCACGAGGCTGACTAGTCAAACGACAGATATCATGTGTATCTGAACGACCACATCTTGCATATTAGCAAGCCCGTGATGAGTGGCAATACCAAGGAAGGAGGGTGGAAGAATATCAGTCAAGGCTGGAAATGATGTAATTGCCAGATCATTGTTGTTTGTACTTTTCAAGAACGCCCACTTCCAGTTTAAATGTGATTCGTATTATTTTGGTACTAACTATGCCTCTCGTGAACACACAATATTAAAATAGATTTACATGTACATACTGAGAACTACTCAGAAGTAGACGCCTCATCATTCGAAGCCTCAATCTCCGCATCGCTCACAAGATCACTCAAAACACTACTCTCCGCGTCGCTTAACTCACTAACCTCAGCCTCACTCTCATCCTCGCTCTCTACCACCTTCTTCCCCTTCTTCGTTTTCTTCACGTTCCCAGCCTTGCTGTTCGCCTTTACAGGACTTCCCCCGTCGCCCTTCCGTCCTCCACTTCTCTGTACAAGATGATCAATCGGACACCCCTTGTCCCACCCCTCACTGCTCTCTCCCGTAATTGCCCTGCACCGTGGACAGTTCTTTCCATGCTTGATGAGCAGCTGGTGCAGCGGATATTTCAAGTGGTCTGGTACCCTGACCTCGCAGTGTGCGTATGTGGAGTTTCGTGTGGGGCCAGCGAAGGGTCCTTTTGCGCCCGGTGCTAATCCGCGCTCGTCGCCTGGCGGAGGGACCCAGTCCAGCCACTTACAGAGCCGGAATACGTGTGTGTCTACTGCAAAGCTTGGGCGTTGTAGGCAGAAGAGGAGCACGCATGATGCGGTTTTGGGGCCGATGCCGGGATAGGAAGTTAGGTGGGCAAAGGCGTCGTCATTGGAGAGCAAGTGCAAGTGATCGAGAGAGACAATGTCTTCGTCCGCTTTCTGCATCTCTCTGCCCTTCTCTTCCGCTGCTTCGTTGGTTTCGCCTTCTGCTTCGGTTTTCGTGGATTTGAGGGCATCGCGCCGTGCCTGGTTCTCCTCCCATACCATCTGTAGGATTTTCTTGATGTCTTTGCTTTTCACGTCTGCGAGGCCACCGGATTTGATGGCTTCGAAGATCTCTTTAACATCGGCTTTGCGCACGGCGTTCCAATCTACGCTGCCTTTGCCGATGCCAGATTGCACAACACCAAAGCGCTGGACAAGACCGGCGAAGGCGCGGGAGGAGTTTGTGCCGGATGTTGCGGCGGACAAACGTGTGCGGATTAGCGCGTCGAGGACGGAGGGTACTTCACCGCAGCCGGAGACTTCGAGAGATGGCAGTGGGATCTCCTTAGGCATTGTGACTTCGCCATGGACTTTCGATAGGATGCGATTCACTTCCTCGCACTCCTCGGCCGTTGGATGCGGGTAGTTTGGGTACGGCGTTTGTCCTGGTGTCAGTCCGTAGCTGGCCTTCTTCTTAGGCGACGTCTCGTTCGTTGTTGTGGCTTTCCCTTCCAGGTCATCGATGTTTTTTTCCCTCGCTTTGGTGGCCTTCTTCACCTTAGCTACTTTCTTAACCTTGATCGCGGATAGTGCTCCATCTCCTTTTACAGGCGCAAGATCAGGGATGGCACCAAGATTATGTGGCAAATCGTTGACGTCTCCCTCTTTCTTCACTTTCTTCACTAGTTTGGCGCTCTTGGGTTTCGCTGGCGCTTCCTCTGGCGACACTTCCTCTTCTTTGACGGCCTTCCTCTTACGCGACTTGGTAGGTCTGGGCATTTCCGGTGGGCTTGATGGAGGGATGGAAAGCTGCACTGATTCATCTTTCACATCTTTCAAAGATGCCGCCGTCGCAATTCGTGCAGAGCCTCGCGTAGCTCTTGTCATAGTGAACGAAGTCGACAAAGTCAATCGATGTAAAGAGCGACTCAGCAAAGGCCTGACGAAAAGGGACGTGGAGAACAGATTGAAAGTTGTAGCAATATGAAGACGTGAGAACAGTCGAGATAGGCACTAATGAAAGGGTAGAAAGTGATACAAAGGGTTCAATCACAATATAAGGTGCAAGTAGATATGACATCAGTGGGAAACAAAGTGGTGGGTGAATGAAACTCGGGGCGATGGATGGCAAAGGCCAGCCGCCAGGACGTCATTGATTGGAGCTCAGACTCGGTCCCTGCATCTTTAGCGCGTTATGCTTCCTCGGAACCCACGCGGCTGCCCCGCGTATCTAGTTTCCCGCATTGTCCTCTCACCCAACCTAGCCCCTCCCAAAGGTACATACATGTTCAGAAGCATGGCTGGAAGAGCACCTCTTGTCGTTCCTGCCCTGAAGACGCACACCGCGACTGTGATCGTTGCTCACGGGCTGGGTGACTCCGGCGCAGGATGGTAAGGCGCGTTGTTTGTGCCACCAAGACATGCATGCTAACGTCTGCAGGATCTTCCTCGCAGAAAACTGGCGCCGACGCAGCAAGTTTGAGGAAGTCTCGTTTATCTTCCCGAATGCGCCTAATATTCCCATCACTCTGGTGCGTGCTTCACAGCTGGAGACCCAGCATTCACTAACGAGAAAAGAACATGGGCATGAACATGCCTGGATGGTACGATATCAAGTCCCTTAGCACAATCACCGACCGCGAGGAGGACGAAGCCGGCATTATAAAATCCCGCGACTACTTCCACTCCCTTATCGATGCCGAAGTCGAAAAGGGCATCCCCGCGAACCGAATCGTTATTGGCGGTTTCTCTCAAGGAGGCGCCATGTCACTGTTATCTGGCGTCACATACAAGAATCAGCTGGGAGGCATTTTTGGTCTCAGTTGCTACCTGTTGCTGCAGAAAAAGATCAAGGACATCATCCCTACCGAGAACCCCAATCAAGGCACACCCATCTTCATGGGCCATGGAGACGCCGACCAAGTCATTGCACACAAGTACGGCAAGCTGAGCGCCGACGAGCTCGCTTCTCATGGTTATAAGGTCGACTTCAGGACATACAAGGGTCTTGCGCATTCCGCAGATGCAGACGAGATCGACCACCTCGAGGCCTACCTTAAGCAGCAGATTCCTGCGCTCGGTGACAAGTCTGAGCTTTGACTTTCTCGAAGAGGGCCTACGTGTATATCGAACCAGACGATAGCCACGATTATGGTGTTGATTATCATCACATGGTTCGGTTGGCATATGAGGCGCGAGGCTACCGAGATCGAAGTAGCCAGGCAGACTTGAGCGGCAAGATCAAGCAGCTGGATCTTGCAAGGAGTGTGGTGGCATTTCTGTTTGCACATTTACTCTAATACCCACAGTCGGTTTAATATTCTGTCCTTTAATATAGACCATTTGATATGACGAGCTATCAGGTCGGCAAATACATGAAGTGGAGCTCGTTTTATTTGGTATGGTGGAGTACATTTTGCTGAGGCAGCGCACGCGAGCCGTGCTGGGCCGCATCTTCCCACTCCCTATGATCCAGACCGTTGAATAAATGAGAATATAAAATATATTAGGGTCACCCTTCCATAAATCTTATCCGTTATGGTCTAGTGGCTAGGATACATCGCTCTCATTCGCAAGTGCCGATGTGGCCGGGGTTCGATTCCCCGTGACGGAATCAGTGTTTTTGGACTTCTGGACGGTGTTCAATTGCAATGGTGGAAATGTTGAATTTTTGGTTGTGCAGACCAACAACACACGTGACCTTGGCACTTTCCACGAGCTGCACCCTACACAATCGCTACCTACACGTATGCGCTCCTGCCTCATGAATTGCAGCTCCTTTTCCACGCACGGTATTTCTCTTGTAGTCACAGTGGAAAGGATTGAGAGGACCTTTTTGCACATGCAGGCTATGGGGTCTCTATTCTCGAACCAGTCCACTACGCACCTTCTCACGTAGTCTGGTCCTCGCAACGCAATCACAATCACACAATTCGCACGACCAAGTGAAGCATCAAAAGAACGAGACTGAAAATATGGAGAAGAACGACTTAATAAATGCGGTAGTGTTTTGTTGCGCTTCTCCTATCATTCCATCCATGCAGGTTCTGATCCAACCGCATCGAATCCAACTGACGCAAGGCTCGGCGGGATATGCTTGTCTTCCGCTCTAGGCCTTCGAAGCCGCCGCGTACTTCTTCAAAACATCCAAATCGACGGTCTTCAAAGCGCTCTCGTGTGTGCACTCTAACTTAACCGGCGGTACCTCAACTCCCGATTCCTTCTCATGCCGCAATGTCTCGTGCCACCTTGTTGCCTCGACGCACCACCTCTGTCCCGGCCGGACGCCCATTTGCTTCAAATTGATGCCGCCGCTTTTTGACGCGAAGTTGAGGAACGATTGCGTAAGTTCAGCAGCGATCGGGGTTTGCGAGTCGCAGAAGCCAGGCTTGAAAGCGGTGGTCGGTATCGATTTGCTGGCCATGGGGTACATGCCGCGCGACGAGTGCTGTAGGAGAGGTTCCTGGAAGACTACGATGGCACATTTAGTTAGGCTGGCTCAGATTGTGTAGTTGGGCGTTGGTTGTCCTAAACTCATTGCGCTCCAAGCCAGTGATGCTTCCAAGGCCAATGTAGCAACTCACCATTATTCTCGCTATCGCTCACACCACCGTGTGTTCGAGCAACCTGCGTCGAGCTGTTGATGTCGTATGCCGTAAGCTTTCCCATGATGTGCGATTGAATAAGACAGATGCTTCAATTGTGGATGTACTCAGACGAAGGTCGCTATATCTGCATACTGTAAGCCCCCTCTCAGCTCTTTTGAGGTCAATGCGACCTTAACCCGATCTTGATATTGTAGTCATCGAACCAACTATTCGAGCATGTGGACGTTTGCGGAGCTTGAAACATGTTCGTGTGCTTTGCTAGCGGAGATGCCTCCGAACTACAGCCATAATGCGGCTTTTGATATGGATGACATCACCGCCTTGCCCTACCCATCGTAGCAAGAGAAGGACCGTTTCCGACACACGTTTGCGATGCAGCAGTTGGTGCGCACCTGCCTCGGTTAGGTTTGGGACTCCCGACAGTTGTATCGCGTGGAGATCTGAGCCGAAGGGCGGAGACCACAACGTTGAGGCTGCAGATGGCGCCGGCCCTACTGGTAGAAGGAGGGTCGGGTCGAGTCGAATGGCAAGGTAAAGAGGGCGCTCGTTTGGCGAACTGAGACAGTGGAAGCGCCAATCATGGCTACTGCGGAGAGTTCAAATCAGTTCAATTCCTCACAGACCTCGCTACAAGAAATATCATGGTCGATCATCGACTGTATGATCATCATACCCTCCTCACTGCGGAGCCAGCTCCTGTGCAGACATGAAAACTTCATGATCTTGTCCTCCGGACGCCCGTTATGGACTCCGTACCCTCATAGCGAGTTGTCATTGCGATACCTTTGACATCATATCCAGCTAGCCCCGTTGCAATACCTTCGACTCTGTCAATTCCAGCTCTGTCAAGAGTCAGTGGTCACTAGCAACCATCGAAAGCCCCAAGACAACCCACCTGAGCCCCACAGATCTAACCTTGTCGTGTACTTGAGCTCCACTTTCGCATACTCACGCGACGTCCGCTGGACATACCAAAAATTCGCAGAATGCATTAACACACTACTCAAACATACATTACCATACCGATAGTACACCTCCAAGCTCTTCAACGGTGTATCTACTGGAGATCTGGAGTGGACCATCAGATTGCCAGACTGACGTGGTAACCAAGCGTTGCATCAAACCGTGTCTATCGCATGAACGACTTGGTGCAGCCACGGAGATTTTAGAAACAAGGCGCATTCGAAGCCCACGTTGAGAGGTACAGTGGTCAGATGTAGTGCGGCTTCACAGACGCTCAGAGCTTAGCATGCACATGGTCCGGAGTGACTGCAATAGACTCGATATCTCGTTCCAGTCCAATGCATCGTACGTTGCGATGATAGAGTGACAAGTAAGAAATCAAACGAAAGCAAGAACGCCCCTGGTCGATCTCGATCTCCTTTCCGTTATGGTATCCCCACCCATGAAATGCCAAAACGCCTGTTGATGCCATCCACCCAGATATTGTACATCTCGCAGCCCTTAATCCCCAGGCTCGACGCTTGCGCTGGCCCTTTCTTTCCCTCCCAAGCTCAGCTTGATCTTCTTTTTCCGCGGCTCCTCGCCCTCATCGCCGTCCCTCTCTCTCTTGCCGTCACTGCGCTCGCTTGTCTCGCTAGCTTTGCGCTCCACGTCGGGTCGACCAGTCTTGAGCTTGACCTTCAGACTGCCAGCACTGCTGCCTTTATCGCGATCCGCCTTCTTGATGTACGAGCTCTTCTTTTTCTTCTTGCGTTCTGGCGTATCGTCGCCGAGCTCGTCTACGTCGTCTTCGCCTTGCGCCAGCTTCTTCATAGGACTGATACCCTTACCCTTCGCCTTGGGGCCGTCGCCGTGTGAGCCTGGTACTGGTGTACCTAGGCGGCTGCCGAGGGGTGTGTTGCCGAGACCTGAACCTGTGCCGTTTTGGCCTACGATTTTGGCCATGGCATTGCGACTTGACTGACGCCCGGAGATGCCGAGGCATTTCTCTAGATGTTGTGCGAAACGTGTGATGAGCAGCGAGCGCTTGCAGTTCGGGCACGTGTGCCAGGGGATGTATGAGGCGGGCTTGCCGCCTGTGTTGAGCTTGATTTCCTTTGCGTCACCGGCCATCTCTGTGTCTTGCGAGCCTGGTGTGCCCACGCTCTCCTTGTCTGCGTTCTTCTGTTGCTGCTTGATAAGCTCCCGCTCCTTCTTACTCTTGGCCATGTCAGTAGGGAATGGATTGCCGTAGACATCGTGGCCTGATCGCTGGACCCAGGGGTAGAGCAGGCAGTACTCCTTGGTCAGATCTGGGTTCTGCATGCCCTTGCCCATGATCGGGTGCATTAGCCGCGGCAGCTTGCAGTGCGGGCAGATCATCTCCGGTGTCGTCTTGAGCGGGTTACCCTTCAAAAATACTCGGCCGTTCTCGTATCGCGCAGCGGTCGTTTCGCCACTGGGTATCGCAGGTTGGCTGTTTGTCCCGGCTTTCTGTGAGGCTGGTTCGAGGGTGGAAAGGGCGATGGACTCGGCTTGTGTGGCGGCGGATTGCATGCGCAGCAGCTTCTCCGAACGATGGCATGACAGCGCTGTCTGCAAGACGATATTCGATAGTGCAGCCTCGAGGATTTCTTGGATCTGCGGCGCGCGTGTTAGCAGCGAGCTCCCCAAGCTCGGTGAACATATCAGCCTACCAGATCCGGCAATACATCTGACGGCAGACCCGACGCAGACTCGGCGGCTGCGTCCTCCGACATGCTGCTGGTCGCAATGGCGATGTTGGCAATGCAGCAGGCAGTCCCGGGCGCTGCAGGCTACGTCGATGGCAATGGTGGAACACTCTGGCGCGGCTGTATCGAGAACCCCTGTTCGGGCGCGTCATCCCTGCTAGCCCTAGTTGCATCCCCACACAACACCTCCGCGGTCCACAACTCATCTGCAACGGTCTTCACAGGTGTGGTCTGATCTTTGAGACGAGATAAACAGGCGCAGATCGTTAACCGCTGAGTCACATTCAGATCGTCTTTCTATTTTGCTACCAAACACCACCTTCACCGCGTCCTATCGTTCTACCTGTTGCACAAGAAAATGACTGCATTTCCCCCGGACTGCGAACGACAATTAGAAGATCGAAGCCCCCATCAAGGCCAGACGTCGTGATCTTGCACTCTGATGCAAGCCTCAACTATACACCTTGAACAGTGCCGGATCTTCGGGCCCCTGTGTGCAGTTCATGATCCTTAGACTGACCCTGCGCCATACAGCCCGGAAGGAAGCCAAAGCAGCCTGAGACCACTGAAACTCATTGCTGAAGACAAACAGTCTGGTAGAGCTGTAGAAGCAAAGCCTACTGCTCCTTCCAGCCCTTGCGAACATTAGAGAACATGCCTATCGCTCGTTGTTGTGATGCTCTGCTCTGCGGCTGAGTGTATGATGCGAGCTGCAGCGTTTCGCTCAACTTTGGTTGATTGCATGATGGGTCAGCAATGAGAAAGCTCGGACTTGAGTTCTTCAGTTAAGTTCACCCTGAACTAGGACTCTGCCCTGTGGCTGTATGAAGTGCAGGCGTTGTCGACTCCATGCCCTCCATGTCGCTGGATGTTGCATTTGCTGGAGCTGGAAGCCGATCTCGTTTCCTTGGCTGTCTCTTTGTGCCAACAGGCATCCTCCTCTTGCTACCGCAACGGTTGCAGTTGACGACTAGAACATCTGCCCACGGCTTCTTACCGCTTTTGCTCTTGTTCTCAATCTCTTGCGTCGCAGTTTGCCCAGGTACCAGAACTGTGTGGCAGCTCTTGCACATAGAGCGTTTCAGGTCAACAGATAGTCGGAGCTGCGCCTTTCGGGAGACCGTGTGAAGATCTGCGCCAAGCTGCATGGCAAGAGGTGATGATTCTTGAATTTGATTGAACTCCGATGACACCGCATCTTTTACTTCACTCTTGATGTTCTTGGTGGGCAACTGCAAGGTCAAATATGTGGCCGCTTGGTAAAGAAAGGTGATTCGTGCGTGCAGATGCTTATTCGGAATTCCTTTCGGCTTTGGCGGTTTGTCTTTGGCCATGTTGAAAATGTAGCCAGAAATAGTGTATTGTGTGGTCAGGTACGAGATGGTCGCGTGGCGCTCAGGAAGCAGTCTCCGGTGGTCTTCCTGTCTGAAATTTTCATGGAACAAAATCGGGACGTCTCTTACTTCGAGTCTTTGTACGAGTCTATTATTGTTGTTGGTTTCTCGCAGCGGCTTTGTGATTCACGAGTGTGCACAGACGCGCCTGCCTTACTCAGCTAGCGCGCTCGACACGCCGAGCTTTTGGTCCCACCGCTGCGTCTCGCTCTTTCCCATCACCGCCTGCGACAGCACCTCCAACCTCACAATCGCGTCACCCCGTGCATCAGCAGATCGTCCACTGACTCTCTTCTCTTAACACTACCGCTTTCCGGAGCTCCACCACTGCACCGCTGCCACTTTACTGTTCGGTAGCCTTGTTTGCGACACGCGCAACTACGAACTCCAACCTTACCTCACCGCTACCACCAACTTCTAATCATCATGTCCCACGAGGAGGACCTTATCGACTACTCCGACGAGGAGATCCAGCCAACGGAGGCGCCTGCCAACGGCAACGCAACCGTAGCTAAGGGTGGCCTTTCAGCTGGCGACGCAGCTGGCGACAAGAAGGGCAGCTATGTTGGCATTCACTCGACCGGTTTCCGCGATTTCCTCCTGAAGGACGAGCTCGTACGAGCAATCACGGACTGTGGCTTCGAACATCCTTCCGAGGGTTAGTCTAATTATCCCCCTCAGCCTTCTTCCACCTGAAAGCGTCCGTCCGTCCATTTGCGCATCGAAGCGGTATCAGTCTGTGGCCATGGTTTGGTCTACACACGAGCGGAGTAGTGAGGGACCCAGTGCCTTCCACTACATATGAGCCACCAGCCGACTGTTGTATCTGGGCGCGATTAGATCGGTCCTATACACGAGCAAGCCGGAGGGCTTTGTGCCGGTCCATCGTTTTGAACGAAAGCACTGGTTTTGGCAGATGTTGTGCCGCAGGAGGGCTCGAAAGAGGTGTCGTATGGATAATGTGGTCTGCGTATGGCTAGACTATCTCGTGTGGAGGACTTGGACCGCGCAAGATGGACGGACGCTCCCCTTTACACACTTCGTTGCGACCGCTTTAAGATCCATTCTGACATGCCCCGTGCTCTACAGTCCAGCAAGTTACCATTCCCCAGGCCATTCTCGGTAACGACGTTCTCTGCCAGGCCAAGTCTGGTCTCGGAAAGACAGCTGTCTTCGTCCTTGCTACCCTCCAGCAGATGGACGAGAAGCCTGAGCCTGGTGTTGCCACGATTCTGGTCATGTGCCACACTCGTGAGCTGGCCTACCAGATCAGGAACGAGTACAACCGTTTCGCCAAGTTCCTGCCCGATGTCAAGGTCGGTGTCTTCTACGGTGGAACACCAGTTCAGAAGGACATCGAGCTTCTCGGCAATAAGGACACTCATCCTCACATCATTGTCGGTACACCCGGACGTATCAACGCGCTCGTTCGTGACAGGCATCTCCGCCTCTCCAACTTGAAGCACTTCGTTCTCGACGAGTGCGACAAGATGCTGGACCAGCCTGGTTAGTATACTGAACGAGCCGACATTCGACCTTTCCTGACATATCCATAGACATGCGCAATGATGTTCAGTCCATCTTCCGCGCGACACCCGCTCACAAGCAGGTGATGATGTTTTCCGCCACCCTGGCGAAGGAGATCCGCGAGACCTGCAAGAAGTTCATGCAAAACCCTCTTGAGATCTACGTTGATGACGAGAAGAAGTTGACGCTTCATGGTCTGCAGCAATACTACATGAAGCTCGATGAGCGTGAGAAGAACAGGAAGCTCAACGACCTTCTTGATGAGTTGGAGTTCAACCAGGTTATCATCTTCGTTCGCTCGACTCTGCGTTGCACAGAGCTTGACAAGCTCCTGCGCGAGTGCAACTTCCCCAGTACTGCGGTCCACTCCGGTATTGGTCAGGAGGAGCGGTAAGTGCATATTGTCTCATGTACAAGGCATGTTTGCTGACGATAAAATAGTATCAAGCGCTACAAGGAGTTCAAGGACTTCCAGACCCGTATCTGTGTCTCCACTGACATTTTCGGTCGCGGTATCGACGTTGAGCGTATCAATGTTGCCATCAACTACGATATGCCTGACAAGGCTGACTCGTACCTCCACCGTGTCGGTCGTGCCGGTCGTTTCGGAACCAAGGGTCTCAGTATCTCCTTCATCAGCAGTCCCGAGGACGAGGCAGTCCTGAAGTCGATCGAGGAGCGCTTCGAGGTCTCCCTCCCCGAGTTCCCCGAGAAGGGTGTCGATGCCAGCACCTACATGGACAACTAAGCTTGTCATGTGGACTTACGTATGAATACCTGCGCGAACTACTACACTGTGAGGCAATTGCTTTCGATAGAAAGACTCGTCTCGTTCGTAACGAAAATCAGTGAGCATGAAGCAGGTGGGTTTGGCTTGTGATATTTTGTACTTTAGCTTCGGGAGCTCCTCGGCCAGAATGGAAAAGCAAATTGACACGCATTTATCCCAACATTCAAACTACTATGCTGCAGGTGACCCTCATTGAAAGCTGACCAAAGCTGACTACGCGTAAAGAGGGCACCTTTTATCAAATTTCTCAACCAGAATAACGTCATACGTACGAGCACTTAGCGAGAGCTTCGGCATTTCGCTACCCATCTACGAATATGTAGATCATCGTCGATGTATTGAGGCTGCCCTCAAACCCATTACCTTGTATTTCACGAACCCTCAGCCTCGGTCCAAATTGACCAAACCTCGACCCCACCATGCCCGACCCACGCGTCTTCATTATCCGTCACGGCGAGACAGAATGGTCGCTCAACGGCCGACACACAGGCACATCAGACATTCCGCTCACACAGAACGGCGAGAAGCGCGTCCGCGCAACCGGTAAAGCGCTAGTCGGCGACGACCGCCTCATCGTGCCCAGCAACATCGCGCACATGCAAGCCCCCCCCCCCCCCCCTCTGCGCGACGCACTACGAAAGCCCTCTAACACCTGCCAGCTACGTGTCCCCCCGCACGCGCGCGCAACGCACCCTCGAGCTCCTCGACCTGGGCTGCCGCGACCGGTACCCGTGGGACAACCACCCCGAGGAGAGCGACACCGAGCCCACAAACACACTGGACGTGCGCACAAACGCGTTCATTGAGATCACAGAGAGCGTCTGTGAGTGGGACTACGGCGCTTACGAAGGCATCACGTCCTCGGAGGTGCGCAAATTGCGCAAGGAAAGGGGGTTGAATGCGGACTGGGACATCTGGCGCGACGGCTGCGAGGGCGGCGAGAGCCCTGAGGACGTCACACAGCGACTGGACAAGCTTATTCATGAACTGAGGGAGAAGTACCATAAGGGCCGGTTCGGGAAGGACGGGAAGCCGAATGATGTGCTGATTGTAGCGCATGGGCATATTCTGCGCGCATTTGCGGCAAGGTGGATTGGCAAGAAGCTGGAGGATAATCCGAGTTTGATCCTCGAGGCGGGTGGTGTGGGGACGTTGAGCTATGAGCATCATAGTCTTGAGGAGCCGGCGATTTTGCTGGGTGGTGCCTTTGTGGTGGACGCGATTGAGAAGGAGGAGCAGCAGAAGCAGGAGGCGCAGAAGTAGTGTCCTTGAACTTCGACGAGAAGGAAAATTCCCATCATCTGTCGCTGAAGCATACCCGCGGAGGTTGTCACCACGACTGCAGCTGTCAATGCACGAGTAAGAGTAGGTCTCTTTGAAGATCGTTCGCATTGCTTGTTCTGGGCTTGCACTATCTTTGCGTCTTCGACGTTTTCATATGTATACCTGGGCCTTTCCTTCGTGATCGCCATTTTCCGATTTTCCATTCCTGCCTTCAATTCTTCATCACCAACTGGTACTCCTTCGTCTTCTGCTTGGCGACCTGTTCGAGCTTCTCCTTGTTCTTAATGGTCCAGAGTCCGATCTCCCGCACTGCAAAAGCGTTCACGAGGCAGTCGCGTCCGAACACTGGGTCGGTCTCAAGCCTAGCAACATTCGCAACATCTCGGCACCAGCTGTCGAGGCTGACCTGAGCCTTCGATAAGGGACCCTTCGCTGCACTCTCGACTACTTTTGCAATGTCAATTGCGCGACCATGAATGATTCGCAGTGCGTCCAACTCAGCGCGCAGGTTATGACCAACGATGATCGTCTCTTTGTCGACAAACTTGAAGAGAGCCGACCGAGCTGCAGTCCATCCCTTGAGAACTCTGTAACCCGCTTGACGAGCGTCCTCCATGTCTTGAAAGCTAGACAGTCCAGTAGTAGCCGGATGCCAGTTGACGACTCGTGCATGTGGGTTGTTGCAGACCAAGTGGCTCATGAGGACGCGACAGGTGAGGACATCGACCGCAGCAATCTTGACCACTTCCTGACAAACATTGGCCAAGACGATCTTGCTACAGTACATGGCGATGATGTCAAGAGCAGGCTTGGCGGGGTTGCGAGTTGGTGCACTCTCGAACTCGGCAACGGGGTACTGCGCAGTATACTCGGTCGCGAAAGTCTTGGGGGCTGGCACGTATTCAAGGGACTGAAGGATGCGAGGCAAGTGACACATGTCGTTGAACATACCGGTAACATCAGGCTGTCGATCTACACTGATACGTGTCCAGTCGATGCCACCAACACTCATCTTGCCGTCATGGTGAATAAACACGTCAGTTTGCAGCAACAGGCGTAAGGTTTTGCTGCAGAGAAATTTGGCTTGCTCCATCTCTAGAGCATCGCTGATATTGTGACTCGTCGGCAGAGGTGGGGTCGTACTGACTCCAGCATGGTGAGTGACTTGCTGGTAAGATTCATGGGATGGTGCCACGCGTTGAGCTAGTGTGTGGGAAGGAGGTATATGGAAGCTGGCAGGAGCAGGCGCACGATGGCCACCGCTGTTGCCACCTCGGCCACCGCTATTGCCGTTTCTACCACCGCGGGAACCTGTTGGCGCTTTCAGCTGACCTTCTGCTCGGAGTCGCTCTCGCTCGCGCTGAGCGAGCATCCAGGAATCTCTCCCATGCAGATCTAGACCCTGGCCGCCGAAACCGTGCACGTCTGTCTTGTGCATATTCAAGCCCGCCTCAGAGGCATAGCTTCGTGTGCAACCGTTGATATTGCAGACGAGCTTTTTCGCTCCAGCAGATGGAGTGGTGGGCGCTCGTTCAGGAGCCGGAGCCAAAGCCTGGGGTTCTAAAGAACTTGCTGAAGTAGGTGCGGGAAGATCGCTCAGTACTATCGGTGGCTGGCGAGGCACTGAAGCCCTGGTGTTCAGTGTGACGGATTGAAGAGACATGGGGTACGATGCGTCGGCCAGAGCCGTGGACCTTAGTGCAGGGGCTTTCAGAGTCACTGTATGGCTCTGCACATTCAGCGATGCTAGTGGAAGGCTCTGGTCGTGCTCTGCAGTGTTGGGGACTTCCCGCGAGAAGTATGCGGTCCGCTTCATGGTGAGTGTATTGCAACCGAGAACATGATAATCGTAAGCGAACTCGGACGCGAAGGTCTTCTTGCAACAGCGGCAATACTCCTGGCCTTCGCTCACTTGACTTGGCGTACCTGAAGAATTACCGCCGTATTCCAGCTCTTGGGCCTCTTTAACGACCAACTTCGGCTTATCCGGGTCGATGTATCCAGGTCGAGGTGTTTTCTTCCAGTCTTTGAAGTGCTTAGCGTCGCAGCATGGCTTACCATGCGCTCGGTGGCGTGTATAGCCTCCCTGAGTGTCAAAGACTTGAGGGCATCTATCGCACTTGAACTGACCAACATCTAGATGACCGCTCACAATACGGTGCTGCTCAAGCTTGAGCGAGTCGTCAAAATGGAACGGGCACATCGGGCACTGGTGTTGGACTGGCTCTGCGTCTTCGTGGTTCATCATGTGCATGCTAAGCTCTTTTCTGCTGTTGAACAGCTGCTCGCAACGACCACAGGTGTGTTTCTTCCTCGTGACGGCGCGCCCCATGGCAGGGTGTAGCCAAAAAAAAGTAATCAGTTGTCGAGGAGTTGAGTTGGCTGCCTCTCCGTGATAAGTTAAGGTAGGGTGTTGGCGGCGGCGTGTTTGTTTACGTGCCTCATAGGAAGGCGCAAGCCGCGCACGGACAGTGGCAATGATGATGAGGTAGCGTACGGCGAGATGATAGGGTCTGCGTGGCCATGATCAAGGTGAAAGGAAGTGATAAATCAGAGCTTTCTTACGCTGGAGATGAAGTGAGCGAGGCACAGCTCAATGACAGTTTATGAAGTGCCAGCTTGGAGGCGGTTGGTGAACTGGATGGTGTCTAGCATCAAGGACGAATGAGTGGGTAGGGACATGTTATAGGTTATTACATGCGCCTATTATCAGAGCTGCGTACACCATCAGGTAAAAGTACCACACTGTCTGGTCTTCCCTTACAAGCATACGTTCAGAAGCACTCGACTGTTTCTACATGTGGTCGACCGATATGCTTGTGAATACTGACTATCCCGGCCTTGCACTGTCGGTTAGTGCTAAGCTCGCAAGACTACATATAAGTGTACACATGATACTATGAAGGTACCCAAGGTATTATCGATGACAGGTCATCTCGGTGAACTCGTTTCGCAGTGCTAGCCCGTTGCTCGAGAAGAGGATATGTCTCGGTCAATCAATAAAGATGAGATACGGGGGTAGGCGTAATTTGCAGCGAAACAGCTCATCAAATACGCCAAAGACCTTGCTCAGATCTAATCCTGGCAGGTGCTCAATACCAATAATGCAGATGTCTTGAACAAAAACATTCTCTCGCAAACTACGCAAACCTGTGGACAAGCACAAGTCTAGAGTATAACTGCATTACTCGTAGTGATATTTCCGTGTCTCTTCGATAGGTCTCTACACGGACGACATCGCTTCAGCAAAGTAATCATCTGGTAGTTTCATTGAGGTCTAGATTTATGGGAGGTGTCCGGAATGAGTTCGAAAGAATCTTATAAATTATCAAGGTTTCAAGAGATCACAATGCCCACACATGCAAGAACACGTTGAGAATCCGTGCAATAGATCCCACCAAAAGAGCCCTAGCCGTCTAGAGAACCCAACTATGTGCTGCGTTTGATGAAAGAGGCGGGACGCAACGGCACAGAGTGCTCGATTGGTGCGTTTGCGGGATAGGAGATGTTAAAGCTCATATTGGTGTAAATCAAGCCAACGGTGTGTGGCGCTGATCATGGGTCCTCTGTCCTTGAACATCTTCGGCCCTCTGGCTCATAATGCTTTCGTCAATCTCGGAGGGGCGCCGTGTACATATGTAGCCTGAGCTTAGCCTAGAAGTGACCTGCTCTCTAGTATCGGTAAACTACATGAATATTCGATTGGACAAACTGTAAGTATATGCTATCACTACACTTCATCGACATTCCCTTCCAATACATGATAGCGTTAGCCATTCTTCGCACATCTGAAGATGCAAATAACGTCCACCTGTAAATTCTCGTTGACCGAAGGGCCAATCACAATCGTCCGAGGTGGCTGGGAATGCCCTGCGGGCAGATAACAAGCCCGCGAACAAATTGGCAGTAGGCTGATATTTGTACCATCTGGATGTGTCTGAACGCAAGTATGGATTTAGTGGATATGAAGACTGTAGCGCCGTCTGGATTATATGTATGTTGGAGTGAGCGTGGTTTTGAACAGGAGCTATGTCAATCTTCAAGGGGTACAGTTTGGCTTGTACTCGTAAGCCTCGTTCACGTCAGTGAGAGGAGATTCTTTAGCCACGACGAAAGACTGACGGTAGAGAAGCGCAGTTCGCTGTTGGGTAAGAGCTGGAGTCGATTGTCGTAGGCAGTTGAAATTATGGAGGAGGAAACGTCGCATGCGTTCTGTTGTCTGAAGTGCATCAGATGGGCGCAGTATCGGTGGTTCGAAGGCTGCTCTTTGACCTGGCTCAATCGTGCTTGAGAGGCCCTCCAGCGACCCCCTTCTAGCCCATAAGGTGCGCTGGCTGTGTTGGCTGTGTTGGCTCGAACGCGGCGATGCCATTACCATGGGCGAAAGTGATATGCCTCCATAAGATGACCCGTACACTATCGTACTGGGGAGGTCTGTCGTTGATCGAGACGCTTGTGCGTGATTGTAGAACGGCTTCTCAGGTCTACCACGAAGACTCCCAGTCGCCGATGCCCGCGGGGGCGTGCCGCCGGATTTGAACATGTTTGTCGATCTATGTTCTGACTTCGATTTACTGGCGTTGGTCGGGAAGTGGAATCAGCTGATAGAGCGACGTCTTGGACGCGCACCTTGGACGAAATAGGTGCAATGCAAGAGGGAAAGAAAGATGAACATGATCAGAAGTTGTGTGGACAAAGACAACAAGGGTTACTCCCCTGCTGTCGGCAGTTTTTGGATGACGATTGAGATAGTCCCCTTCTTCGAGCATTGTTGGACTGGTCTCAGGGCTCGCAGTAACCTATCATCATCAATGTCCACTCAATCAGGAGAGGCTGTTGCAGTCATCAAACCATAACTGAGCTTCATTTTCAGAGTTGGAAGATCTCTCTGTAACTTCCGAGCAAAGTTAGCAAAATGTGTTACTTGATCGTTGTACATTCCATGCTTCATTATGGCGTCTCCAGCCTGATTGTTGAAGGACATGGTGTGCCCCGCACGGTGTATGTAGGCATTCTTTGGTCGTGAGTCCAAAATCACCAGGACATGACGTTCACGACTGAACCCTGTAGAGGTGGCCATTGCTTTTCATCGAATGTGGGAAGTAGGGTTTGATGGAGTTGTGACTCGGAGTAATTAATGGGCAAAGGGTCGCACAAACTAGTATGAATTAGTTAGCGTGCCACCACGCAATCAGCCGCGTTCGAACGAGGCTCTGGAGTGAAAGCTTGAGCGCGGTGTTTGACGCCTTTTGTAAACTGCCCGATAGGGAAGGTTGATTCCGAGGCCCCACTTTTAATTCTTGTGCGCGTTCGAACTTTTGCAGCGCCGGGTTGACGCAAAACTCGTTTTCGACCCCAGTGACCCTTCCCTTTACGCGATCTCTCAGCTGCAGGCTCTGACACCAACTCACAATCGGTTCCTGCACGGCACACCCGCCAACATGGCCACCGACCGCGGGCCGAAGCCCAAATCGGCCGAAGTTCAGCGCAAAGGCGAGGCCATAGACGATGCAGACAGACAAGCGGCCAACCGCTTCGCCGAAGAAGCAGCAAAGCAGTATGGGAGAGGCGACAGAATCAGGCCAAAGTCCGTAAAGGACAAGAAGCTGAGGTCCAATCTGCGGTTATTGGAGAACAAGAACAAGCAAGCAGTGATCGAGGCGAAGAATGTCGAAATTCTGCTAGAGAACAATGAAGGACTGCTTGAGGCCGAACATGAGCTGGAAAGGACATACAAGGTTCGACAGGACGACATCAAGGCCGCCGTCGCAATAGAAACCGCAAAGAAGGGCTTTGAGCTGCGACTGGACGGGCTGGGACCGTACGATGTTTGCGAGTACAGCAGGAACGGGCGCGATCTGCTGATTGCAGGGAGGAAAGGGCACGTTGCGACATTCGACTGGAGAGATGGCAAGCTGGGCTGCGAACTACAACTCAATGAGACGGTACGAGACGCACGATGGCTACATACCAGCAACCAGAAGAACTTCGCGATCGCGCAGAAGAAATGCGTCTACATCTACGGCGGCGACGGCGTGGAGATCCACCAGCTGAAGAACCACTCCGAAGCCACACACCTCGAATACCTCCCCTACCACTTCCTCCTCTCCTCGATATCGACAGCCGGTATCATCAGATACACAGATGTCTCAACCGGCCAATCGCTAGGAGAGCTCTACACAAAACTCGGACCCGCAACAGCGTTGGTGCAAAACCCCCACAACGCCATCCTGCACGTCGGCCACCAAAAAGGCCTCGTCACATTATGGTCGCCCAACAGCGCCTCACCGCTCGTCAAGCTGCTCCCTCACCATGGGCCAGTCCGCAGCCTCGCCGTCGACAAGTCTGGCACGTACATGGTCAGCACCTCGCAAGACCGCCGTATGAGCGTGTGGGACATCCGCATGTTCCGCGAAATCCACACGCACCACTTGCGCGTCCCAGGCACCTCGCTCTCCATCTCCGACCGCAACCTGACCGCCGTCGGCTACGGGACACAAGTCAACATCTACAAACCCGAGATCTTCACCTCGAACCCAGACCTCGTTTTGCCCACACCGTACATGGCCTGGGGCGGCGAGGGCCTATCGACAGGCCGCGTGCGATTCTGCCCCTTCGAAGATATACTCGGGATCGGCCACGAGAAAGGCTTTACATCGATCATCGTGCCCGGCGCCGGAGAGCCCAACCCAGACACCCTCGAGCAAGGCACGAACCCCTTCGAAACCAGCAAGCAGCGCCGCGAGACAGAAGTCCACGCGCTTCTCGAGAAGATTCAGCCCGAGATGATCGCGCTCGACCCCAACTTTGTCGGAAATCTGGACCTCACATCTCAGGAACAGCGCAAGAAGGAGCGCGACCTCGACCATAAGGAGGAGGATAAGATCACGAAGCTAAAGAAGAGGGGGCGCGGCCGCAATAGTGCGCTGAGGAGGTATCTCAGGAAGAGCGGCAGTAAGAATGTTATCGATGAGGAGAAGGAGCGGGCGAGGGAGATTGTTGAGAGGAGGAAGGAGAGGAACGTGGAGAAGCAGAAAAAGCTCAAGGCTGCGTATGGGCCGGCGCTGGAGCGATTTGCGGCGAACAAGAAGGCGTGAGGGATGAACAAAAGCATAGCATTTACGGGCGTTGGAGGTGCATATACCCTCTTCTGTTTAGATGTGGTAATGCAGGGACGTTTACAATTTTTTCGGATTCAAGGTCGAGGGAGTATGTGTGCAACGAGAACGCCTGTCCATTTTATCTACCCAGGTATCTACCGTCATGCAGTCGTATCATCGTGCACATGCTCTACTCGACCAGCATCGGCGCGGTCTCGCTCTCTGCAACAGCGTTCGCATCCTCTACACTCCACGCCTTCGCGGGACGGGGCCAGACCCGCTTATACAAACTCACAGCCACGGCATCCATGGGGTTGATCTTCCCATCAAACGTCGCCTTGAAGTATCCATGCGTACCCAGACTCTCTTTGATGAACCCACTCCTACCCCTCCTAGTCCACAGCGGCAAGCTCTTGAACCACCTGACATCCGAGTCGTTGAAGAACATGTAGCGCACCGTGACGACGCGCTTGTTGATCTTGTAGGGGTGGCCGGTGAGCACGACGCGCTTGGCGATGATGCGGTTCATCGAGGGCGGCAGCGAGGTGCCTGTGCCGATGAGCTGGAGGCCGGAGGACGATGGCGAGTCGGGGGTAGAATGGGAGGTTGTGCGCTGGAAGTAGAGAAGAGGCACATTGCCCCAGGTGAGTGGACCGATGAAGGAGGCGATGGCATTTTGGCCGGGGTATATGAAGCGGTCGAATTTGTGGACATTGTTAGGGGTGTTGCCTGCTTGGGAGAAGAGCTAGGTGTTGTCAGTGCGTGTTCTGTATGATTTATGATGTATGGAATAGCTTACAGGGTTGATAACCATGCGGCGCGCACCGCACTGGACGATCATCTCAGTCTTGGACTTGATAGTCATGCCATGGTCGGTGCTGAGCAGGATGCTGTAGTTGCAGGCTGTACGCTTATGCTCGTGTCTCAACAGGGAGAACATAGCGACAGGCCGCGACTGTGACTGCTGCAATCGTAGAGGTACGCCACGGATGTGTACGCTGACCCGATTACCAGGCTTGACGCCGCCGGCCCATGCTTCGCGCATGAATTTCGTTGCTGTGCGCTTGTAATCGGAGATTTCGAGCAGTCGCTGCCACTCCTCGGGCTCGTACGGTCGGTCCTCCTCTTTCTCCCATACACTCTGCTTCAAGCTCTTGAGACCGCGGTACTTCATAAGACGCTCCCGCGCATCTTGGTTCGGATGAAGCTCAATCTCATCCGGGAACTCGAGGTCTTGCTCCTCCTCGGCTTTCCTTGACTTTCGGTACGCCTCGATCTGGTCTGCCTCGTCTTCCGGCGAAGGATCAAGGAACATCTCAGATTGTGGATACTCAGATGGGCCGCCCTCAGTCATCGCCTTTCCGTCGAGGTCCATGCCCTCCTCGCCATCAGCAGGATGAGCAGGAGCGCTCTGGCCCTCCTCAACATCCTCCATATCAAAATCTTCAAGGTCAGAGTCGGAATCGGAGAAGTCTTCAAGGTACCATGCAGACTGGTATTTGCTGGTACCCTTCGGCAACCGTTTTGGCTTCGGTCGGGCCTCCTCGTCCTCCTCATCTGAGAAGTAGTGATGGTCGTCAAGCAACACTCCTTTTCGCTCGGTTGGCGCAATGGACGCAGCGTATTGTGTGACATCGTCCATAAGTGTCTCCTCGGGTGCGAGATCTGCGACGTCATCCTGGTCCTCAGTTGGGCGCTCCAATACAGGGTCCTCCTCAGCATCAACCATCATGTCACTATCTTTCTTCTTCCGCGCCTCCAAGGGTGCCGCGACAATCTTGTCGACCTGGAAGTCGCCCCAGTCGCCGACCTGGATCAGCCTATCGGCCTTCAGACCCAGACCGCGGACTACGCCAGTCAACACAACATCGCCGGTACCATCCTCGTTGACCGCTGACTTGCCACCGGGCCAAGCAATATCCTCGATGAACATGTAGCTCCTCTGGTCTCTCCATCTTATGCCCTTGGTTGTGATTGTGCAAATCGATCGCACGAGGTTCGAGGATTCCTGTCGGTTGTCGAGAGAGTATACGCGCTCGGTGGTGGGCAACCAATGTGTGATGTACGACTTGAGCGATGCAACAACCTGCGGCCTGCGCTTCACGGGCTCTACCTTGTCCAGCGCCTGAACGACGGTGAAGGCGTTTGTCAGACCCTGGCTCTCGACCGACTTCAGGATCAGCTCGCCCTCCTCGTCCACCTCCTCATCTGCGGAAAGCACGAAGACAACAAAGTCCGCGACTCTGCAAGCATCGAGCGAGGCAAGCAGGTCTCTCTTGACAACCAAGTACTGGATCTTCTGCTTGAAGCGGTCCACATCTGTGCGCACCCATCCCGCCTCGGGAACGTCCTGCTCGATGTCCAACGCCGTGTTCAAGCTGCGCACTGCCGAGGCAGAGGAAATGTCCGAGCACAGGGGAATGATCGCAACAACGCGCGGTGCACTGTCTCGTCCGGCGAAAACGTTGGTCTGTTTGGCATGCTCGTTGTCCTTGTTGATGCGCATCTGCTTCGAGCGGTTGCGGCGGTCGAATTTCGACATAACTTGCTGATGGGGCGTCTTACGACTTCCTCGTTCGAAGCCTACAGCCTCGACCTTGCCTACACAATTGTCAGCGCATGCATGGACACAAACGTGCAGACTCCCGTACCCTTGCTGATCTCCTTCAGCGCGTTTTTGGTGGCATGGCGAGACTTGAAGCCCTTCTTATGCTGCTTCGTGGTGCTGCGGTGGTGGTGGTTGTCTGCGACTGAGGGAGCCATGTTGCTGCTGCCGCCCGCCTTGAATCTGAAGGGAATCGACGACGCCACTTTTGCTGCGGTGCGTCAGAAATGCTGCGCTTCGAAGTGCGGGACATCTCAAAATGGATCCACTTCCACACATTTTTGGATTTCGCGCTAACTTATCGATTAACTAGCCTATCGTTCAGGACGACCTTCATCATCTCCACCTTGCAGTTCAAGCATCAAGTCAGTCACAGGCCATCTGCATGACAAGCGTTAACTTTTTATTCATCAGCTTTATTATGTTGTGTCAACATTGTGCATCTTCGTTCAGGACTACGTTGCTCTCGCTATCTAGGTCGAGATGAAGACCGACTGGCAGGTGCCACGGCGGCAGGGGCTGCGGAAGACTTGATTGAAGCCTGTTGCTGCGGCTGGACTCGTGCTCTAGGTACAGCATGAGAATGGGAACGAAAGAACAACTTTGGTGGTGTAGTGGCGCCATCGATCCTGACTGCCGGGTGCCTTCGTACGCCAAGGTTGAGTAGCCAGTATGCATCACTCATGCTCTCGGTCCCCATCAAGCCTCGAGATCTGTTCCGAGTCAGGCACTACAATTCCTTATTTCAGTTGCAAACTTTAAATTTTTATTGTCTCATTGCTTCTTCAAGTCTTATCGCGCGTCGGCTGCCTCTGCCTTCACCCACGCAAACGGCAAACGGCAGCTGCTTCCCTCCCGCAAGCTCACCACAGCCCCCAACTCTCGGCTCACTGTCTCTCTGAATTTATCTACTTCCCACGCCTATAAGGTGCTCCGACTCGCACATCTACACCCTCACTCACACCACACTACCCTGCTCGCTAGTCACCTTCAAAGCTGCAACAATGGTCAACAGGAACCGTAGGCAGGTCCATGCTTACAATCCCGACGAGATCGAGCGGTAGGTTTGTTCCAATTGGCGCACGTCAAGCCACTGACATGCAATAGACTCAAGCGCGTTCCTCTCCCTCCGAAACTCAAATGCAGCATGTGTGAGAAGAACTACAACGCTGCCAACTTCGGTGAGAAGCAGAAGACCGACGTTCGCTGGCAGATCTCGCGGGCAGGCCGCATCACGACTAACCCGAAGTGCTCCAAATGCACCGGCGGTCAGCTCGTCGAGATCGAATGCACCCATTGCCACAAGACAAAGGGTCTAGAGGACTTCGCGAAGGTGCAGCGCAGAAAGCCTGACAACGCTGTAGGTATACACGTGTGGAGTAGCTGGATGATGCTAACGGTCATCAGCAATGCTATGCCTGCACAGACATCCAGCTCGCACGGCTGCCTGTCAACGAAGAGCGCTATGACGATCCTAGCAAGGCGTTTATCAACACCGAGAGCTCCAGTGGCCGTATGCCAGAGTACTGGTCGTCCACCAACTCCGCCCGCGACACTGAGTCCAGCAACGCAAGTGCGATTCGAATCTCCATCATCATCCTCGCTGACCATCTAAGGGTGAATGGCCAGACACAGAGTACTCCGGTCGAGGCCGTCGCAGGCAAGACGGAGGTGGCATCAACCCGTCTGACCAGTTCCAGCACGCGATGTCCATCGGCGGCGAAGTATCTGACACACTCATCGATTCGGAATTCTCGTACACGCCTGTAAACGACACCAAGCCAAGCGCATGGAGCGAGGTTGCAGGTACCAAGTCATGGCACACCGGCACTGCCTCCAGCGCTCGGAAATTCAACCCTGATAGCTACGGCAGACCAAGCACTCGCTCTATCTCCAATTCTGATTATTCGTTCAACTCAAGCATCGCGGAGCGCTCTCAGCCTGGCAGCGACCAGATCGGGAACAGAAGCGGCTTTTCCAGGGTCAAGGCCTACGTATGTATATCCGGAAAGCTCGATACTGAATTCACATGAAGCTAACCCTTGACAGCGTCCGCCTACACCACCTATGCTGCAGGAGGAGCACGAGTTCTCGTCGCCCGAGAACTCAGACTCAGGCGAAGAGGATAACGACAGTGACGACGACACCATCATCTAGGAGGGACGGGCGAGCGGGCAACTAGCAGGCATTCGAGGCATCCATGAAGCATTAGGAGTACCCTGGGATTATTCCAGGCATCTTTAGGTTATTGGAAAAGCAGGTGCGGGTCACTTTCATAGTTAGCTTGACTACACGAATGAAGCTACATTTCATTCGAGTACATTTTTTTTGCGAGTGAGAAAAGGGTTGTCCTCGGCCACTTTAAGTGGTTATTCGCCACCGCGTGATAACGCGAGGCGCTAGTCGCCTCCAACGCGACTACCCCGGCCGACACCTCGATCCTACTCGCCGACTGCTGCCTGACCTTGTAGCTCTCAAGCACCTTTCTTTGACACTAGACGTTCATTACCTTTCTTTTCGATTGTAGAGACAGTGGCCAGGTGACAACATAAAATGTGAGTCTTCGCTTGGCATCTTGTGGCGAACAACGCTGATCGGTGGCGATAGGGCAGGACGACGACCACGAGGCAGCGGTATTCGAGGGCCACACTCAGCCTTGACAGATTTCCTTGCTGTAAGTATGCATTGGGCTGCATTGTAACTCCAGAATTCGACAATCGTTGTATTGCTCCAGTCCAAGGCTGAGCTGCCAGCCACCCATCAACTCACCTGCACCGATCTTTGACAGTCGTTTTGGCCAGCGACTGACATTTGTTCAAGGCCAACAATATCTCCGCCCAAGAGATTCGCGATTCGTATCGTGATCGAGTGCAACGAGCCGAGCAAGATGCCGCGGCAGCTAGCGACAACGGTGAAGGACCCTCGAATGCCGGTGATGATGTCGAGGAAGATCTGCAGGCAGAGTCCTCTGCAATGGCTGCTGAGCGAACTCGCAAGCGAAAGCGCAACCAGGACGAAGCCATCGCGAAGATAAAGAAGGGCAAGGAAGCCAAGAAGAAAAGCTCCAAGAAAAAGAAGAAGGGCCCCGACAACGAGTCGGACGAAGACTTCATGGACATGTACAAGAAGGCGAAGAAGTTACCTGGTCAGCTGGAGAATTGTGAGCTCTGCGACAAGCGGTTTACAGTCACACCATACAGCCAGGCTGGTCCAGAGGGCGGGCTGCTCTGCACACCATGCGGCAAGGAGCTGAAGAAAGAAGTGAAGGCACAAGAAAAGGCAAAGAAGACACCAGTTGTCCGCAGGGGCCGCAGAAAGCTTGAGAGCAACCGTCTGGACGGGCTCACAGTGCGAGGGCCGAAGTCATTGCAGCAGCTGTGCATCGAGAAGCTTGCGCAGCACTCGGAAGATATCGATGAGCTCGGCGAGATGCCGGAGAAGATCATGAACAGGATCAGCGAGATCTTCTCCAAGAAGCGTGCCATGAACTCTACCACTATGAAGCTGTTCCTTCAACCAGACATGGAGTCGGTAGCGATTCACGAGGCAGCCTTGCTGGAGACGGAGGACTACGACCAGATCTTTGCAGTGTGTCCGACGGTGAAGAAGCTGTCTCTCCGCAACTGCTGCCAGTTCAAGGATAGCAACATCGACTACTTGGTGGAGAAGGCCAAGTCGTTGGCCGAGATCCAGCTCCTGGGTGCCAACCTTGTCTCGGACGACAAGTGGATTGAGCTCTTCATTGCGCGGGGTCCAGATCTGAAAGCGTTAAAGCTCGAGTGGCTAGATGCTGCTTTCGACGATCAGACTGTCGAGGCGCTCTCCACATTCTGCCCCAACATGGAGCGGCTCAAGCTCGAGCGATGCAAGAAGCTCGGAGTCGACAGCATCGATGCGATTGCCCGGCTGCAGAAGCTTGAGCATCTCACATTGCGTATGTACGGACAGGTTCCACGTGAAAGGCTCATTCGCATGATCACGTTGGTCGGTGGTCGCCTGCGTACATTGTGTCTCGAGCACTTTCTTGACGCGGAGAGCGATTCTGCAGACGAAGTGCTCGATGCGATTCACAAGACTTGCCGCCACGTCAGCAAGTTCCGGTTTACTGAGAATAACGAGTGCACCGACGACGGGTACGTCAATCTCTTCACTGGCTGGGTTAATCCTCCGCTTCGCTACATCGATGTCAACAGCCTACGCGACACGGACAACGCCAATCCCGAGGGCCCAGCAGACCAGCCCATCGGACTCGGATCCGGGGGGTTCCAAGCGCTGATGGGGCACTCGGGGTCGCGGATCGAGTATCTCGACGTGTCGTCGTGCCGACACATTTCGCACGCGGCGTTCAGCGACGTGTTCGACGGGACGAAGCAGTACCCGTGGCTGCGGGAGATCAACGTGTCGTTCTGCCCCGTGGTGGACACGCAGATTGTTGCGGGCATGTTCCGCAGCTGTCGGCAGCTGCAGAAGGTGGTGACGTTTGGGTGCTTCCAGGTGGCCGACGTGGTGGTGCCGAGGGGCATTGTGCTTATCGGCGCCCCCAAGGCGCAGGACCAGATGGAGCAGTTTGGCGATACGGTCATGGAGTTCCAGCAGGAGCTGCAGAGGGAGATGGACGAGATGCGGGCGGTGAGGATGATGGCGATGGCGGCTTAGTGGTGCTGGCGGGTGATGGGGTGTCTAGGTGTTTTTCGTGGGAGGACACGGCATTGAGGAAGATGTCATGGGACAGGGATTTGGATGCAGATTTAGGGTTAGACGTCGTTGGGACGGTTGATGGATCTTGATACACTATCGTGCTGTGGTATATATAACGTGTCATGCGTGTGCACCTCTGCTGGGTGTGGTCAACACTCGCTCGCTGTAGGCCACGCTTGCATGTGCTGGTAAAGATGGTCATGTTGGTGCAAAGATGGTCATGGTGCAAAGATGGTCATGCTGAAAAGATGGTCATGCTGAAAAGATGGTCATGCTGAAAAGATGGTCATGGTGAAAAGATGGTCATGTTGGTGCAAAGATGGCCATGGTGCAAAGATGGTCATGGTGAAAAGATGGTCATACTGGTGCAAAGATGCTCTTCTCCACGCTTGCGTGTGCTTGCAAAAAGATGCCCTCTCCACGCTTGCGTGTGCTTGCAAAAAGATGCCCTCTCCACGCGTCTTGCCCTCTCCCTGCGACGGCCCAGGCTCGCGGTCGCGTGCTGTCATGTCGTGGTCTGAATGTGCATCTCTTGAAACGCGCATGCTCTCCTCTTCGCCTCAAACCTTGCTCAGCCACAGCATAAAGGCCAGCTGGACGAGGTAGCTGTAGACGAACAGGAACTGGGTGCGCCTGTTGCGCTGGGCCTTGGCGACGGTGTAGCCGGCGGCGGGCCCAGGGCCGCCGAAGCTGCTCTGGGCAGCCTGGTCCGGCAGCAGCACGTAGCGCAGGCTGCGCAGCAGGAAGAAGGCGTTTGCGCTGAAAAAGTAGGCGAAGACGGCCCAGCTGAGCCAGTACCCCCCCGCGCCGACCGAGGCCAGCAGCTGGCTCAGCAGCAGCGAGACAATGACGTGCACAAACTTGTACCCGCTGTACGCGACCAGGTCCAGCAGCTGGCTCGACGAGGTGATGGCCAGCAGGTAGGTGCCTGTCTTGAGCACGACCACCTCGGCAGCCATGACGGCCACGGCCACGCTCGCCGTGTAGCCCAGCAGCTCCGGGTGGAAGGCGCCGCGCAGCCCCGCGAGCAGCGTCGACAGCAAAATGTACGTGACCAGCGCCATGGTCGGTATGTACATGTCGGGCGAGTTGGGGTCCTCGCGCGGCGGCAGGTAGAGGTTGGCCGCCGCCGCCGCCGCCGACGACGCGTCCGATGCGTGGCGCTGCTGGCGCGACCACGGCTTGTGCCACCAGGGGAACAGGATGATGCGCAGCTTGGCGAGGACGTACGAGTTGGACACGTTGAAGTAGTGCTTCAGCGCGCCGACCGAGACGTACTTTGCAATCTGGAGGGGACGTCAGCACTCGCTACGCTCCACGGCCTCGCCGGGCGGGCACCCACGTTCTGGTCGAGGTACTGCTGGCCCGCGTTGAAGGCCGTCTGCCCCATCTGCAGCCCCAGCTGCGCCGAGGGGTCGCTGACAAAGCCGCCAAACGCCGGGTGCTGGCCGAAGCCGCCGCTCTGCTGCTGCTGCTGCTGCTGCTGCTGCTGGTGCATGCCGCCTCCGCCCGGCGCGCCGTAGCCGTAGCCGCTCGAGGGCTGCGAGGGCGGCTGGGGCGGCGGCGGCGAGCGCAGCTGGGGGACCGTCGAGACGTGCTGGGGGATCGGGTGGTGGACTGCGGGTCGGTCAGCGCGGTCCTGGCATGCGACGGGGGCAGGGCGCCGTGCGTGGTGGTGAGTGCGCGGGCGGCTGCTGCGGATAGCCGGGGCGCTGCATCCTGGGCGGGGGTGCGAGTGCAATGGCGGGGGTGCGAGTGCAATGGCGGGTTCAGAGGAGCGTCGTCGGGGAGCTGCGCCGCGGTCGAGTGGTGTCGATGCGGTCCTGCGCGTCCGACCCGGGTCGGGACCAGCTGGCCACAGCCGCGCCGACCTGCCAGAGGCACCGACACGGCCGTCTCACCCCTCCACGCACACGCGCCACCGACCCGGTCGCCATGCTCGACTCGTTCGAGATCGTCACCACCGCGGGCGTCGTCCTGTGGTCGCGCACACAGGCGTCCGTCGGCGCGCACGTCATCAACAGCCTGATCCGCGACGTCTTCATCGAGGAGCGCACCCTGCCACCGGCCGACCACCGCGGCGCGAAGCCCACGTACAGGAAGGAGGGCTGCACCGTCAAGTGGACGCAGGCAAAGGACGTCGGGCTGCTGTTCGTCGCCGTCTACCAGAGCCTCGTGCACCTGACCTGGGTCGACACGCTGCTCGACAATGTGCGCGCCCTGTTCGTCGGCCTGTACGGCGACCAGCTGCGGACGAAGCTCAGCAGCGTCGTCGACTGCGACACCTTCGGGCCCTACTTTGACCGCCAGGTGCAGGAGCTCGAGGGCCAGACCGGCTCCCGCGCCCCCGGCCGCGACCTGACCCCGCCAGACTCGAGCACCGACGGCGACAGCGCCGACGAGACGGCGGCGCCGCCGCCGCCGCCGCCGCGAGCCCTGTTGGACACGAGCGCCGACTCGACCCCATCACAGACGCCCAACCCGTCGCGGCCGGCCACACCAGCGAGCCGCGTTCTGGCTGCGAGAGCCCGCCCGGGCGGCGCAGGCATGTCGCGGCGCGACAGGAAGAAGGCCTCTGGAAGCCCCGCGCCCGCGTCCTCTGGAGACGAGGCGGCCACAAAGCGCAAGGGCAAGAGCGCCAAGAAGAACAGGACGTGGGGCGAGCTGGGCGCAGAAGAGGACGACGGCGACGTGGTGCTCGACTACTCGCAGTCGGACCTGCGCGACGGCGGCCCCGAGCCCGAGCAGCTCGACGAGATCCACCAGGACACGTGGGGCCGCAGGACAAACAGGGGCGAGTTTGTGCTCAAGGACCTGGACGAGGAAATGGACGCCATCATCCAGGAGCAGCACGCGAACACGGACAGGGCCGCAGCCACAGCAGCCGCCGGCGGCATCGTCGGCTCCAGTCTGGGCGTAATCGGCGGCTACTTCAGAAGCGTCGTCGGCGGCAAGACGCTCACCAAAGAGGATCTCGCCAAGTCCCTCAAGAGCATGGAGGAGCACCTCCTCCGCAAGAACGTCGCGCGCGAGGCCGCCGTGCGCCTGTGCGAGTCGGTCGAGCGCGACCTCGTCGGCATGAAGACGCCCAGCTTCACCAGTGCGTTTCCCCCTCCCTCGTCTCCCATCCACCCCACGCACACACACATATATGTACATATACATGCATACACATGCATACACATGCATACACATATATGCACATACACATGCACACACACACACACCACACACACATACATACACATACACACACATACACACACACACACCACACACACACACACACACCACACACACACACACACACACACACACACACACACACACACACACACACACACATGTGTATAAACACAGTACTAACAGCCTGCAGCCATCGAATCCACGCTGCGCACCTCAATGGAGAAGGCGCTGACCCGCATCCTCACCCCGACGTCGTCGCTCGACCTGCTGCGCGAAATCGCCGCCGTCAACGCCGCCCGCCCGCGCCCCTACGTGCTCTCCATTGTCGGCGTCAACGGCGTCGGCAAATCCACAAACCTGTCCAAAATCGCCTTCTTCCTGCTGCAGAACCGCCACCGCGTCCTCATCGCCGCCGCAGACACGTTCCGCTCTGGCGCCGTCGAGCAGCTGCGCGTCCACGTGCGCAACCTGGCCGAGCTCTCGCGCCGCGAGGGCGGCCACGTCGAGCTGTTTGAAAAAGGCTACGGCAAGGACGCGGCCAACATCGCCGCCGACGCCGTGCTGCACGCGCAGAAGCACGGCTTCGGCGTCGTCCTGGTCGACACGGCCGGCCGCCGCCACAACGACGCACGCCTCATGTCCTCGCTGGCCAAGTTCGCCAAGCTCGCGGACCCGGACAAGATCCTCATGGTCGCCGAGGCCCTCGTGGGTTCCGACTCGGTCGCGCAGGCCCGCAACTTCAACGCCAGCTTCGGCCCGGGACGCCAGCTTGACGGCTTCATCATCTCCAAGACCGACACCGTCGGCGACATGGTCGGCACCCTCGTCAGCATGGTCCACGCCACGGCTATTCCCGTCGTGTTTCTGGGCACCGGTCAGCACTACAGTGACCTGCGGAGCTTGAACGTGGGTGTCATTACGAGGCTGCTCATGTCCTAGTCTGAAACATCTCGACACTGTAATGTTGTATTCCAAATGCAGTGTGAGAAACATCTCGACATTGTAATATTGTATTCCAAATGCAGTGTGAGAAATATCTCGACACTGTAACATTGTACTCTAAATGCAGTGTGAGAAACATCTCGACATTGTAATATTGTATTCCAAATGCAGTGTGAGAAATATCTCGACACTGTAACATTGTACTCTAAATGCAGTGTGAGAAACATCTCGACATTGTAATATTGTATTCCAAATGCAGTGTGAGAAATATCTCGACACTGTAACATTGTACTCTAAATGCAGTGTGAGAAACATCTCGACACTGTAATGTTGTACTCTAAATGCAGTGTAGAGATATCTCGACAAATATCTGAATAAAGACGAATAAATATGAATAAATATGAACAAATAACGTACCCCACGGGCGAACGACTCAACGGGCGAGCGACTCACTTTTGCCAAGCCCCCACCAAACCACCCTTCCTACACCAATGCCTTCTCAACAACACCACTTAGACGCGTCAAAAGAACGTCAGATACAGCTTGCGCTCCAGGCTCTCAAACAAGACGCGAATCTCTCTGAGCGGCGCGCTGCAGCTATCTACAAGGTTCCTCAAGCTACACTAAACAAACGACGCGCTGGACGACCTTCACGCGCTGATTCTGCACCCAACTCACGGAACCTGGACAATAATGAGGAGCGGGTGATTGTTGATCACATCCTTCAGCTAGCTGCGCGAGGATTTCCCCCTCGGCTTGCAGCTGTGGCTGATATGGCCAATTCTTTGCGCGCTGAGCGCAATCTGGGCTATGTTGGCGTAAACTGGCCCAGTACGTTCGTTAAGCGTCAACCAGAGCTTAAAGTGAGGTTTAATCGCAAGTACGACTACAAGCGAGCCCTCTGTGAGGATCTGGAGATCATACAGGGCTGGTTCCAGCTTGTAGAGAATACTAAAGCCAAGTATGGCATCCTGGATGAAGACACGTACAACTTTGACGAGACAGGCTTTATGATAGGCCAGATATCCACAGGAGCAGTCGTTACAGGCTCAGAGCGTCGTGGACGGCCAAAGTCTATTCAACAGGGCAACCGGGAGTGGACAACAGTCATCCAGGGCATTAATGGGGCAGGCTGGGCCATACCACCCTTTATTATCTTCAAGGCGCGACATCACCTCTCTGCCTGGTACAAAGAGGAGGGTCTGCCCCAAGACTGGGTTATTGCAGTCTCTGAGAACGGCTGGACTACCAACAAGCTCAGTCTGGAGTGGTTGAAGCACTTTAACGCGCATACAAAGGAGCGTACTGTTGGGACCTACCGTCTGCTGGTTATTGACGGTCATGAGAGCCATAACTCGCTTGAATTCCAGCAATACTGCAGGAATAACAAGATTATCACCTTGTGTATGCCTCCACACTCATCGCACCTTCTACAGCCGCTTGATGTAGGCTGTTTTGCCCCTTTGAAGCAGGCGTATGGGCGCCAAGCTGACAACCTCATGCGCAGCCAGATTAACCACATTACAAAGACTGAGTTCCTGCCATGCTTCATACGCGCCTACAACGCTGCAATTACTACTAGCAACATCCAGGGAGGGTTCCGAGGCGCTGGACTAGTCCCGTTTAACCCAGAACGGGTTATAAGCAGCCTTGATGTGAAGCTGCGCACTCCATCACCACAACTCCCTGTCAACGAAGAGCCCTGGCAGTCGCAAACCCCAAGCAATACCCTAGAATTTAGGTCGCAATCTACTCTAATTCGAGACAAGTTCCAGAAATACCAGGGTAGCTCACCAAATTCTACAACAAGCGCGCTTGAGCATTACATCAAGGGCGCAGCAATAGTCACGCACAAGCTTGTGCTTGCAGAGAAACGGATTGCTGAGCTTGAAACAGCTAACAAGGCCGCTGCACGCCGGAAATCGCACAAGAGAAAGCGAGTCCAGGCAGAAGGGACCCTAACAGTTGAGGATGGCCTGCGATTAACAACTCTAAAGGAGTTTGGGGCGCGTAGTGATGGGAAGAAGGCAAAGAAGCGAGTGCGCGCTGATGGGGCTGAGCCGACCCAAAGGCGCTGCGGACGGTGCAACGAGACTGGACATAACGCGCGAACGTGCAAGAATGATGTAGAAGTAGTTTCTGAGTAATATTACAGGTTGTTCTACCCTGCGCAGCGCCGAAGTGGGCTGATAGAGGCCATAATGGGGTGAGGTTTGGTGTGGGCTTGGCAAAAGTGAGTCGCTCGCCCGTTGAGTCGTTCGCCCGTGGGGTACGTTATGAGTAAATATGAATAAATATGACCATACACGAACAAATATCTGAACGAATGAACAAATGTAACGCAAGGTGCGTCCCCAACTGAAAAGACACTATGTCTCGAGAAAGGTTGGTGGTTCGGTCCTTCGGCACCTCTAGCGCGAGAATTTATAGAGCTGTCATTCACACCCGGTGTTGATGAACGATTTCTTCTCTACACTAGCAGGCTCCGAGGAGGATCTCTTAAATGCTGGTCGTGCTGTTAAGCGTTTCGCCGACGCCGTCGAACGGCCCTCCAGTGATAATCCCCTGTCTACTCGCGATTTGGACAATTTCTCTAAGCATCGGAGGCATTGGGTGGAAGAGCGGCTAACGAAAACTATGTTCCTAGACTTGAAAGGTCACTTGAACGTAGTAGTGAGCTCGCCGAAAGCCCCGAAGAGCGGAGGAGGGGAGCCCTGCAGCGAGACCTGACCCAGCGGGACCTGCCACCTAAGCTTGGCCTGCATTAGCGGTAACCTGGTGTAATCAATAAAGCGCTATGCCTGGTCTGCAATGGTTTCGAAATAGACGTGGCGCATGCTGACAGCTTTCTAAGAGCATCTTCTACTGTATGCAGAGAACCGTGTCCCATGTCCTTTTATGCGCTAACTAAGAGATGCTTACTACGCGCCTGAAAATGCTTGCTTAGACCCTGAGCGATGCTATTCGGACCCTGATACAGTGTTGCCTTCCTGATGTTGATGAGCACCTGCGTCAAGCAGCGTCTTGACTACCTGCTCGTGGCCTCCCCATAAAGCTGCCTGCAGTGCGTTGCCGTAGTATCCACCCTGCGCGTTGACCTCGGCGCCCTTGTCGAGCAGCGTCTTGACTGTCTGCTCGTGGCCTC